TGGCATTGACATTACCAATACGGCATACATGGTAATGTTTACATAGGGAAGGTTTACCCACTTGTCAAATGATCAATCCTAGCACACTCATTTTTCTGACTGTAGTATAACTTATCAGCCATGAGCTTCTACAAAAATGATTAGGTCCATTCAATTCAGTCTCACAGAGGGGCAGCCTGAGGACATGACATTTAGTTCATAGGCCATATCAAAATCAATAATCAATTATCCATTATAATCGTATAATTTGTTAAGAAAAAGTTAATTTGAGGGTTGCGATTCCAAAGGTCCCAGGTCTCCATAAATTTGCCTCAGATCTTTTTCTCTCCCATCAATTTTCCTTCATGGTAGTTTTGCTCACTTAAAAAGGACATGCACCTCAGGACTGAGACACATTTCCAAATGGCTTGTAATCTGCTAAAGATGACTTGGTAAAACCAGAATGCACCTTTCTACTATCAGACTGTGAGTTCTCTGCCAACTGCTGGTACGGTTGATTGATAGTGTTGGATTTGAATCTCTTGTTCAGCCACAGGCGAGGGAGTTTTAAAATGCTATGCATATATAATCAGTGTCATATTCACATGGACAATGGGTGCAGGATTCCCCAGTATCATAATCCCTTCACCTGCATTCACCTTGCTCCCACATCCTGCATCCTGTACCCGGCTTGTCCCCGGACAAACAACATAAAGGACACCAGCTGTGATCAGTCAGAGCTGACCTTCCTGCTCTGTTGTTCCAGTTCTGATGCCTTTCTGTAGTGGACAGAGTTCAGCGTGTCCACGCTGACAGTCAGACTTTCACACCTCCGATACAAAGCTCGCCGTGATGAGTCGTCCACTCCTGCTCCCTCTCATCAGCCAGTATTGTGGCTGGAAGCAGACCACACGTCCGTCAATTCATTCTCACACTGCTGCATCTCAGATGCCCATGATTCTACGGCTTGCTCACAGGCTAAATTTTGGTTAACAACTGAATAACATTCTGCAAGGCGTGCCATTTTCAAGATCGGAGCCATCATTTGCTTCCATTTGTCCAATTTTCATGCTTTGAGTGCATCATCTTCAAAATGTGACTGGTTGCCTTACATATCCTGTTCACTCATTTGCTCCTCTGGAATGAGGAAAATCAATATTTCTCACATCACATGTCAGCGGCATTAATGTTGTAACTTTCAAAAATTCTAGGTAGAAATAAATATTTTCTATTCATCTTAGAGTTTTAGATTGCTTCCGAACAGAGATGGAAAGAGCCAGAAAAAAAGACTGAAAAGTTGGTGTTGGATATTTAAGATAATCAAGAACATTTGTTTGGTAAAATTATTTGCCATGCAAATAATTATTTTCAAAACAAGAAAACTCCTGAATAATGCATACAGTGGCACCGAGCAAATTTGAGATTTAGAAACACAGGATGTAAAGTTTCCTTTTCAGTGCTCTCTCTCATGCTTGATACCAAAAGGTCAACGCATAAAAATTAAATTATGTCAGAGGTTTTCTTCAATGCACTTTGACACAGCAATCCACACTATATGATGTATCTATTTTATAGTGTCAGTGCACCACATAGTAAGATAAAAACAATGTTTGACCTGTATGATTACTGAAAGTTCTCATGACAAACAAGTAAGACAAGAAGCCAACCACATATTGACATAATAATGCATGTTTTTGGATAGTTGGAGAAAGATGGAGTCGATCTCAAGCATAGACAGCACATGCAAGCTCCACACAGAAAGGTTCTAACAGAGATTTGATCACTAAAGCTGAGTCTATTTTATGTCTGCACCAACAATAGCTATGAATGTAGTGTACTCTCTTGGTGACACTTTCAACTGCACATAAACTCAGATTAGTGTGGAAATGAGGAATCAAATTGATTTAACTTCAACTTCAGACATCAGAACGCAGATTTGTTGTTTTGCCAACAAGTTTGGATTGTAACCATTTTTTTGTTTTTGTACAGTTTTTGTACAGTTTTTGTATCGAAACCCTAAAGCTGTAACTTGGTGAACTGCAAAGCATGCAACTTTTAGTGGATAAACATAAATAAAAAATTCTAATTACAGTTTACATGTCCAATATTCAACATCCAACAGAATTTATGGAAATTATAATGGGTCCTTTTTTACATTGCATGGATGCCATGGATTCTTTATTAATAGCAGGAGCCTCTTGTGCCTTCCTCCTTAAGGTCATTAATGTTGCAGGCCTTGCTTAATCAGAGGGGGCCAAACAATAAAACTGCAAACCAAAACAATTTACCGTCAAGGAAAACTGTATAGCTTCATCATATGTGTCTGAATAGCCCATGTGTCCTTCACTCCACGGTGACCCGTGCTACATCTGTAACGCAGCACATTCAGTTAAATGAAAAAAGTGGCGGTCTAATTAACATATGTGCCGGCACCTCATGTGAGAAAGAGGATTCTGTCTGCTGCTCTGCAGCTGCAGCACTGCTGCTGCCCTCATGAGCAATGCAATACTTTACTGGTTATACAGATCCATAAATCCTGCTTATAAAAATATAAACCGACATCCTGCATAAAAGATTAACCGGTCGATTGTAGATAATCTCTGATTTATTTAATCCTTTCCTACCATTTAGAGATACCATTTTATTTTCGCTGGACTGAGCTGTATATTCACAGAACTCCACCAAACTCAAATACCAAGGTCTGATTTTGCAGAGGAAAACCTTAGGCCGCTTTGTGAAGTCTAATACACTGAATAAGGGAAGCTGAGAAATGTCACGTGAATCATATCTAGTGGGGGCTGAAGACTACAGGAAAAAAAAAGCTGTGCTGAGGAAGAGGAAAGAAGCTACACGCTCTGTAACCTGCCCCTGACCTCATTTTGAGGCTAGCTGCTCGACACGATATGCCTCCGTCACATTCTGTGCTGTCAAATTGTCTTGCGGTCAAGTTTAGTCCCAGGTAGAGGTCTGGAATGAGAAAAAGAATTGGCTGGCTCTGCTACTTTCCTTATAGTGATTTTGAAGATTCACATTGACGTTGGCAGGTCACCAATAACCACTAGTTACAATCAATGAAATAACTGTGAATTAATTTAAATGAATAACTACTAAAAAATAAGGTATTCAAGTTGAATTTGCACAGATTGGCGGTCCTGTGAGGCACTGGCCTAGACATTTCCATAGGTCAGAAAATTGAAACCTATTTTTATATACATAAGTCTTCATCTTCAAGGAATAACTATACACTATTATTTTAAATAAATGGCCAAGTGTCAAAATAACATGCTACTAGATACATAAGACGGACTTTTTGGGGGGTAAAATACAGTTTAATTGATTAAAAATATTTAGAATAATTTCTTTAGGATGTATATTGAATATTGAAATGCTCTGTCTTGGTTCTACTTTCTATTTAATAAAATGTTGCGTAGTTTTTTAGGACAGTTTGTGTTTGTGGTACAATTCTTTAATTAATTCTTCTCTTTCTCATGGATGCTATGCGTACAAAAACTTTGTAGGTTGGAACACTGACATTCTCAATGAGCAGACAATATCTCCAGTTACTTTGTGAGCTGACTTGAATATGAGATCCGGGAGGCAAATAGCACACCTAACATATTTTTTTTCATGCTTGTTGTGAGAATGCCTGTATAGAAATAATATGAGTGCCTTTCTCTTGTCTATCTGAGGTAGGTTGGAGCACCCACTATCATAACTGGCTGATAGGCGTTGATCACACAGATGTGAGCTCCTGTGCCCGGAGGAGGACAGCAAAAATACTTACAAAGCAGGACAAAGATGAAGGGCTAAACTGCCAATGAGAAGGAGTCAGGACACATCAAAGAAAACACCAGGAGGAACTGCTGTGGAATGATTCCAAGTTTTATAAATTGACTGTCTCACCATATTTACAAGACGAGTGGTTGTTAGACTTTTACTTTGACATCATTTTATGGCGCTAAAACCATGAATATCTCATTCTGCATCAAAAGACTGCAATAAAACCAGTAGTCAAAACACACGTACCAGACAATTAAAAAGAAAAAATATTGCACACATTTCTAATACAAAATACTGTGGTTTCATGTTAAGAATGCAAATATTCTGCTTCTTTTTTCTAATCTCTTCAGGTGGGACGTGACAATTGAATCAGTATCTGACAATAACAGTACAACCTATAAGACGCTGTAGACAAATTTAATGCAGCCGCAAACAGACCTACACATCAACATTAAATCAAAGGAATTGTTTGTTCAGTCAAATTGAATTGTGGCTCTCCTGTAGCACTTTGTTTGACTTTGATATTGAGTGAACATTTGACAGAAAATAGAGCTCTGACATATATTATTCAGCTATAGTGCATGCTATCTCACACAAGGATATGCAGATGGCACCAGCAGCAGTCAGTGGGAGGTTGGAATTATGGACTGACCAATTTGACACCGTGTATTTCAACAAATCCACATTTTATGAATACAGCATTTAGTTGCAAAGAAATAGCAAATCATGCGAGATGTTCACTGACTGCCTGATTACACACTTTTATCAAAATGTGATCAGCGTGTTTAGTATACTACAGTCCACAGCAGCATCCTTACAGAACGACTCGACTCGTATTCGGTTATGGCTGACTGGAGGTAATTCTTTGAGTTGCGTAAATCTCAGGTGCTCAACCACAGCTATGTAAAAATCTAAATTTATACGAGCAGCTTCTTTTCATTTATTTTTTTAACAGTGTATATCTTTTTAAATACTTATTTATCATAGTCCATTTTTCTTTTTGCAATTAAGTTTAATTATAGGCAATTTATATGGAAACATTTCATCTCAATTTAATTTTTACTCCTTTTTGGTACAAAGAAATATTTCTAACCTCATTTTTTCCCAAATGATATATGTTTCCATATAAGTACTATACAATGTTTAAATCATGAAGACACTGATAAATGCTTGCACTGTGATTTCTGACAACTTTTTTTTAAAGCACAATAGTAAATCTCATTGGAGGCTGAAGCATCAGTTCAAGATCTGCAGCATTTAAAGCGCATAAGTTTCTGAAAAGCTTTTTTGAAGTCTTCATTGGACATGGTGTATATTATCGGGTTAATGAGAGAATTTAGATATCCCAACCAGGTGAAAAAGTCGAACAATTCGGGATTAAAACAGGTGTCACATGTTGCCACCAGCAACGTGTAAATGAAAAATGGAAGCCAGCAAACGATGTACGCGCCGAGGATTATCCCCAAAGTCTTCGTTGCTTTTCTTTCCCTGGCTGCCGAAATCCGCTTTTTCTCCAACAGTGCGTCGGACACGGTTACTTTCACCAGGTTCTCGCTCGTTGAAGAGCCGGTGTCGCTGGACGGGGTGTCGTGTCTCCCGTACTGCAGAGAGGTGGTGGACGCCACGGACTGAGGGGAGTTGGTCACCAAGTGCGCAGAGGTGAGTCTTTTGCCAACCCTCTTCGGGGATTGCTTCAGGATCCGTTTGCGCGCCTCCACGTATATCCGCCCGTACAGGACGATGAGGAGCAGCGTGGGGATGTAGAAAGCCCCGAAAGTGGAGTAGATGGTGTAAAAGATGTGGTCCGTGTTGACGCTGCAGTTGGTCAGCTCCTCCGCTTTCACCTGCCTCCAGAACAGAGGCGGCAGGGAGATGGAGATGGCGATGACCCACACCGTGGCCACCATCCCTGCCGCGCGCGCAGGCGTGCGCTTCTTGGAGTACTCCACCGCGTCCGTGATGGCCCAGTACCTATCCAAAGCGATTACGCACAGGTGAAGGATGGACGCGGTGCAGCACGTTATGTCCGAGGACAGCCAGATGTCACAGACTATTTGCCCGAGCGTCCAGGTGTGGATCACCGTGTACAGCACGCAGATGGGCATGACCAGAATAGACACCAGCAGGTCTGTGACGGCCAGGGAGGCAATCAGAAAGTTCGCAGGAGTTTGGAGTTTCTTCGACTGGGAAATTGTTGCAATGACGAAGGCATTGGACAAAGTGGTGGCGAGTGTTATAATCGAGAGGATCACAGCCAGGCTGACTTGATAGACGAGACTTTCTGCGTTCTCATCAACACTGGATGGATCTGAAATGTAACTATCGTTGGTGGTGTTCATGGGCTGACTTGGCTCGACCTGACTGAGGAGTTCCATGGTCACTTTAATTTCACCCACTGACATATGTCAATTAAGGAACTCTCTCTTTTGATGAACACCACCTTATCTGTGCCATCTGTTCAGATAAATGGCATTGCCAGCCTGAGAATTGAAATAATTCTCCCATCTTCCTTATTGTCATCTCTCGCATCAGAATTGAATGTGCTGACACCTACTTTGCAAGTCGCTTTGGATAAAAACGTCTGCTAAATGCAAAACATAAACACATAAAATATAGGTGCAAATATCCATTTATCGCAGGAAATCCAACTTTCCTGTCCTCTACCCTCACAGGAAAACTTCCTCGGTCGTTGTCATACGCAGAAAAGAGACAGAAGGTATCTGCCTAAATGTTCCTGAAGTCTCAACGTCTCAGCATCTCGAGGAAGTCACAGATAATCCGCATGTAGGGTAGAAGTTGCTCTGAGTTGTGACTCCTCAAGCCCCTTGTGGTTGAATGGAGAGCCACCCCAAAGCCTCAGTTTTACACAAACTGACACTAAACAAGCACCACAGTCACATTACTCCTCTCTCGCTCTCTCTCTCTCTGTCTCTCTCTCTCTTTTTCCACTCTCTGCTGGGTCATAGTGCCCAGTGTTTGTATTTTGTGACATAAAGTCTATCATAAAAATTGTTCATTTTAGATGTCATCTTGCAAGGACTTCAAAAGCTGTAATTATTGCTTGTATTACCATTGCCAAGTCTTTTCAGTCCACCTCTATAATTAGCCACTGAATGACTAGTTTATGACCATCATAAATTATGTGTAAATCTAAAGAGATTTTCTATCATTAACAGTTAAAGTATTAATATACTTTTTGGTTTATTTAACCTTAATTTTAGCAAACATGGTTCTAAAACATGAACCTGTTTTTTCAGAAGGTATGCATGAATACCTCACTTATCCGCTCACTCTCCCCTCCACAGCTGTCTCAGCTCTCTCTCCTTGTTGTCCTCATAAAAACTCCCATCACCTGTTTCAGTGCCAGACGTGTTTGTGAGGGTTCTACAGAAATGCCTCTGACAGTGTCATCTGACACTTGTAATCAAAATTATGAGCCCCTCAGTTTTCACTGTAGATTGCATGCACAGGAGTGGCATACTTCTCTGTAAATTGGCTTGCTCATAAGGGTTACAAAACCTCAGATTTTGGTAATTTTGCATCTAAATTTAAGGGACTTGTTCATTGCTTTAAAAAAATTACAAAATATTTATTTGATATTAGATCTTGTAAATTGCTCACTCCTTTCCATCATAATTTACACAATGTGTCTATGTAGCTTTTGTTTTTGCAACAAGGGGAAAAGATCTAGGTTGAAGAGTTCACACTCATTGGGTCCTGCCATTTTTGGCTCGTCTGATGTGTGAGAGAAGCTGTCATTAACACTGGCACTGGGTCACCGTTTATTAAACACAAGGTTGAACATCTTCCTGTCATCTAGTGCATCATATCAGGGCTCAGGTCTACAGAGGCAACAAAAAGCTGCCCTTTTTTTTTGTTGAACTGACCAGAATCAGCATCACACAAACACTCACATCCCTTGCTTCATTGTCTTTGTGGGGTTCTGTGGAAGGGGAATAGGGCAATCTGTGCAACAGTGTCTCACAGAGATCGTTTAATGTTCCATATTTTCATTTGATTCTATTTCAGCTCAGCACAGATGGCTGTTTCTGCTTATAAAATCCAGTTTTCTAGCTTATAACAATTTTCATACCTGCTTTTATCACAAGCCAATATTTACAAGGTTAAAAGAGCATGTGACAGCTTAGTGAAAATTGAATATCACATAAGTGTTATCTCCAGTGGAAACTGAACATTCAACAGTCTAATAATGTCTGTTTTATTGACCAATAACCCATAAAAGTAAACAAAATACGTCTGATGGATTTATTTGTTCAGTGATTCCAGCAGTTTCTGGGGGTTAATGGATTGACCACATATGTTGTCGGAATACTTTTTTGGATTATACATAAAATATAATTTCACAGTATATTTTTTGCTACAACTGATCAAAGGTTACTAACTTTTTAAAGAAGCCTGTATTTCTTGGATTTCTGTTTTTTAACACTTCCCCCAACAGGCAGCGACGAATCATCCCTCTGTGTGAGAAGCGGAGAATAACCTCAGGCTGGCGAAGCACAGTGGAGCAAACCTTCCTGTGAGTTCATGATTGTGCCCTTTGAATAAGCATGACTGCCTGGCACCATAAATGCACAGGCAGTGGTGCAGCAAAGCCACTGTTTATACAAAAGCACACGCTTTTTTTCTTACATAGCACCCCAGAGACCCACAGACAGCCACAATGGATGAAAGCATGACAAAAAAGAAGGAATGTGATATTGTTTGTTTGCTGTATTTTTTTTCTGAAATGTTTAGCTTTGTTGTCGCTTCTTTGGTCTTTCATCAGCCTGTAAACATTTATTAAGTAATTATGGGAAAGATCATAAAATGAATAATAAAATTCCTCAATGTACAATTACGTGGGCTGAATATTCCTCATTCTGGTACACATGTGATGATGCAGGTGGCTGAGGTAGTTTAGTATTAAAAATGAATGTGATTCTGGCATGAAAATCACTGCATGAGCTCAGGAACCCTGTTTGTGAAGTCAGTGTCTGCGAACATGGTTCATTATGCCATCCGCAAATGCAGGTTAAAGGTTTAACATCAAAGAAGAAGAAGAAACCATGAACATGACCAAGAAATGTTAGCCTGAGCTCTTTTTAAATGAGGTGAGGCTAAGTGGAAATCTGTTTGATGGCCAAACAAATCAAAATCTGAAATTCATTTTGGTGGAAATTATTTTTTTAATTTAGTTGAGAGATCATTTTTAATGATCTCTACAGTTAGATATTCAGAGAAAAATAGATAGTTAGATAAATAAAACATAAAGTGAAATAAGGTAAACGTGCAAAACGAGAATAGGAGTTCTGGTTACTTGTTAAGGCGTGTTTTGTGTCCAGGTCACTGTTTAATGTCATCATTGTTTAATCTCATCTCTGAACACAGTAGGGCGGCACACCACCGTGCCGCCCTACAGCAAGAAGGTTGTGGGTTCGAGTCCCCAGGGGAACAAGGACCTTTCTGTGTGGGCTTTGCATAGTCTGCGTGGGTTCTCTCCGGGTTGTCCGGCTTCCTCCCACTGTCCAAAACTCTGCATGTTAGGGTGATTGGACATTCCAAATTGCCCTTAAGAGTGAGTGTGCATGGTTGTTTGTCCTTGTGTGTCTCTGTGTGGCCCTGCGATGGAATGGCGCACTGTCCAGGGTGTACTCCGCCTCTTGCCCACTGACTACTGGGATACGCTCAGGGAATAAGCGATATGATAATGCGGATGGATGGATGAAAGCAGAACAGCAGATATATCTACAAGTAAGTCTCACGCTGACTTTGACAATTTTATTTTAATCAGCCAATGAAGCATGTATATTTAAAGGGCCATTTGTAGCATAGGAATGAAAAGACCATCTCCTTCAGTCTAAAGCATCCTTTTTTCTGGTTGACTTAAATTATTAAGTGGACTTATTCAAAATATTTAATAGATAAGTCATATTTGAAAAATCTAAACATATATAGGATATGATCATATTTATTATAGAAATATTTCATATGGTGTGAGTTGCTCCTTGTGTCTTGGATGTATGGCATTCTGTATCCTGAGTAGCTTTTAGTCAGTATAGACGAAGTTTGTGCCAAGTAAAATCCAGAGAGAATTTTGTTGTGGAATGCCAGCTGTAAGAGATTTCTAGCAAAGTTTTGTGTTGAGCTCTAAACCACCTGGAGACTATGAAAAAAAGCTTGAATCATTTTAATTTTACTTCTCTGTCAATGTTCACTACCACCTCAGGAACAAATGGCAGACGCCGTGTGCAATTATTGGGGTTTTACTGGAGAGCCCAACACCCCCCTGCTATGGAGAGTTGTGGTTCAGTGATGAAAGTTTTGATTAACTGAAAAAGTCTGATAATTACCATAATGCGCGGCCATTTCAAACTTCAATTACATTTAGAAAAGTGTAGTTTTGAGAATCCCTTTGGATGTGCAAGTGATTCAAAACATAACCCTTTGTAACCTGGTTAAAGCTCTCCCTTTTCTATACTTAGGAGGCTTTTTACCTTTGTTATGTTTTTCAGACTGAACTCAATCACTTGCAACTTATATTGTGAAGTAGACTTCATGTGACTTTTCCACTTCTATCCATGATAACTGACAGCTGTAGCAGCTGAGGCCAAATAGGCCAGGCTCAGAAATCAGGGCAGATCCCATGTTGTTGCGAGATTCACCCCTCCCTCTCCCTGCTTACCCAAAACCATCGCTGTAGGGAATGGCTTCTTCTTATCCGTGTGTTTATGACATGAGACATGGGAGAAATGACCAAGCTGAGCAGCTAGGTCAGTCTTGTTTGGAATCTGGGGCCTGAAAGTGCACCCACAGCTGCAGAATGAAATATGTGGATTCAAGCAGGGTGGAGGAGCAGTGTTTAAACAGAACCTGCGTCATGTGTAGTAAAACCTGATGTCAGACCTAACGGGCACCTGAGGGCTTCAATCTAAAGCCAGATTTAGCCACACCATACATTTAGATTCTAATCATATAATCAAAATGTAACCACATCACGTACTGGAGTTAAACATAATTCCAGCATAGGCAAACATTTTTCATCAACATCAGATGACAGATTAGCAGAGAAATCCAATGGGTTATGTATATATACAATAAGTGGTGAATATTTTATTCACCAATTTAGAACAATTCATCGTTGCATTATGGTGCAAGTTTCTTTCATGTGTAGAAGTATAACCCAAAAAAAAACTAACCATTTGAAATATTTGGGAAATTATGTCAAGTTTAAGAATCATATTATTTTGTTATCTATGCATGCACACACACTTATATACAGTAGGCTACATATATTTAAAGAGAACAAAAAGATTCTACTCTGTCTTTTTCCTACGATGAGCAGGAACATGTTTTATGCTCCAATCATGACATGTGGTGCCAGTGGCTGTTTGCTGCATGGGGTTCTGTGCTTTATTTACCTTTACTGGCTGCACCACAGGAGGAGTGGATGTAACTACACTGACGCTTCCAGAAGATGTCTACCCTTCTTGTCTCTGCAGGGTTTTTGGTATTGCTTTAGGGGATTTTTGATGTTGTTGACCTGTTTTCCTGTAAAAGTCCTCAATCCTAATTTTGTGCTACTGCCCCACAGGCCAGGTCCAAAAATGACCAGTAACATCTTAAAATAAGCATCCGTGTAGTATGATATATTTCACAGACATTGATTTTAGGGGGTAAATGTATGACTACATTTATTCTGTAACTGTGAAAGTAACATCGTGAGTGATGGTGACAATTTCTAAACTGGAAGTTTGATGTTGCATTCATGTCAATCGGTTGCAAATAATTGTGTGATCAATACAGCTTTAGAAATACAGTGGGATGAGCATGCATTTTCCATTAGGCTGCTAGCTGAACAAATCCTCTAATGTAGGCCTTTTCATACTGGAAAGGATGCCCAATTAGGGTAGAAATATGTATGCATGGCATAATAATGGTGATCATTCAAGAATTTCAGGGAGCTTTAAACAGGAAAAGTGGACCAAAATTATCTCAACAAAATGGCCCAGTTCCCTTTAATTGCAAGGATGGGTTTTTCATCCATCCAGTTTCTATGTTCAGTAAGGTAAGTTTGGGTTTTGGAGGAGAACACGATCACTCCATCTCATGTGAAGTAATAATTAGCTTCACTTGTTACATTAATGAACTAATACAAACTGAAATAAAAATGTTAAAAAAAACTAAACCAGTTCATTCGTTAGGATGCAATTTTTTTATATTTTTCCGTTTCATTTTCTTATTTAGCTACACAGCTGTAAAGTCTGATGACTTCTTCCAGGACTTTCTCATCTAAATGCTTCTTTCAGGTACAATGAGATCATCAAATATAGGACACATGTTGGCATGTAACAGAAGCCATCCCTCTGCAGGGTTTCCAAGACTGGTCTAATGGGACATGATGCTCTCTGCTCTGCCAATCAGCTCTCGAAAGCCTCCAGCTAAAAATATATTGAGAGAGAAAAGTGCATCCATTTACAACTGAGGGCTTTCACTTAATTCTCTGAATGTGACGATCATACGATGGCGCTGTTGCTGCCATGTAGAGGATTGTGCTACTTTTTTGAGAGCTGTGCCCTATTTGAACACATTCTGTAGTTTTGCTCACTTGCGAAACATTGCAGCCTAGAATGGAGATGGTTAAATGTGTTTAAAATGTAAAAAAGTATTAATTCCCCTTGAGTAAGACATGTGACAGGACATTAGCTAAGTGGTGTTGATACTGTGTGACTCTACTCAGACCAGACTCATTTTGGCTTGACTGGAACTCCAGTTCAAAATCATCCATACGGGAATTTCCCATCAGCCAGTGAAGACATTAATAGTGGAGCCAGTCCAAGCTTTAAAAGGAAAAATGCAAGCCCAGAACTGTTTCAATAAGCCATGGCATGACCGCAAATTGATACAACCGTGTCTGTCATACAGATTCTGTAACATTATGGAAGAAAACAAGGCCTGTATCACAATGAGCATCATTTTGTTGGTAGACTTCAGACAAAACTCACACTGATAACCAGCTTGGAGGGTTAATGATGTATGTGTGTAGTATGAAATTAATTAAATTCACTGCTTCCTGGAGGTGTTATATGTGTGATGTTGTGCGCAAAATCAAATCCTCTGTAGGCAGACGAGTGCCGATAACACTTGCTGTGAACACTTGTTTTGTTGCCGTGCCTCGTAGAGTGTGAACAGCAACAGGACAGACACAAGAAAGCTGACATTGAATCAGCTTGTCAGCAATCTCAGAAAATCAAGCGGGCGTGCAGGGGGAACTTTGACCCACCATGTTTATACAATGCAGAAATACTAAGATTGATTAATAGCTTAACTGCAGCAATTTATTTTAATGTACTGAAGTGTCAATTTCAATGTGTGACGCACTGTAATTGTAATCTTCAGACTTATTAACAAAAGGATATATGTCATGTGATAAATGGGGCTTGGTGACAGTTATTTATCGGTATTCAGTAATTGTATGTTGTTGAAACACTTGTCGGAAGATGAAATATGCATATACATATATATAATTTACTTACTAATTTAGTTTATATTAATTTAGATACCACAGATATCATACATGCTTAACCACTCATTGTATATCAAAGCAGACAATATATTCATCACTCATAGTAATATGGAGAAAAGGGAGCCGCAGAAAAACATTGACACCACAATGTCCTTGTGAAATTTTAGAATGTTTTCAAATGACACATTTGAAAAATGGAATCTATCTCCCTTTGCCTTTCTTGCTCTTTAGCGAACAAATGCATGGCCTAAGTGTTATCTATAAAAAAAACAGGGTTGTTGTTTGTTTGAAGCACAATTTAGTTGGTTTCTTTTTCCAGGAACACTGTGAAAAAGGGTGCAACAGATCATTTATCGAGTTAACGTCTCTCAGCTCATTTCCCATGAACATTCACTTTCATCCCACTTCATCAGAGCTGCATCTGCTGAAAGTTTCCTTGTCATAAAGAATTATTAGCTAAGGTCTGTATAGTGCTTTTAGCCATCTAAGCAAGCAGTAGAAGGCAGGGGGGGGGGGGGGAAGAGAGCGGGGGTATCGGGTGTTACATGTGAAGAATGTTTACACTTCACAAGTACAATACATCTGTCAGTCTGCGCCAACGCATGTGTCAGGCTGCATCAGATGCTGCCTTTGGCTCTTCGTGGTGAAAAATTACAAGAGGTTACACATCAATCACTTGATGAGCGGTGGGTTTTCTGTGGTGGTGGAGTGCGAGCAGCTTAGCGTTTTGGGTGAAACAGTCTGAGGAAGAGCCAACTGACCCTGACTGCATTTGATAAAGTTATGTGATAGATACCAGGGGAATCCGTGATAGCATGGAGGGATGTTTTGACTAGGCGGTCATGTGCTGCTTTATTTCACATGCAGCAATGCACCTGTGAATGCATAAGCACATCATGAATTAGTGACATCCTCTGGTGATATGTCAGAAAGCACACATGTAACATGGTTTAATTATAACTCTGCTCGTTGACATGACAGATGTTTATCTCTCTCAGCTGCTGTAAAGTTTCCACACAAAGAGATTTGTTAATGAATCCAAGCAGAAACATTTGAGCCGTGATGCCTGGATTGTTGGATCATACGAGGGTGTCTGTTTATGATAGCTTTGCTGTTTTCGTTGCTCCATTTTTTCCTCATTAATCTGTGACCTAAACAATGTTAGTTATTTCACACATTGTATGTTTAAACAAAACATTACTTTTTATGTCTTTATATACAAATATGTACATGTGTACAACATGATCCTTTGTTACTTTTAACTTAGGTTTATTACCATCTTTGAACTATTGCATTACTTTGTTTTTTTGGTAAGTCTGTCCACTAAGGGGTGCTGATGGTTGACAGTTTTGTTGTGCACATCCAACATTCACATATGTTGTCTTACAGTGACTTGATGACCAGAAACATAGCCCCGCTACTAGATGTGTGAAACAAAACTTCTGCTAATCAATGAAAAGGCTGTGTGGTGTTAAACAAGTCTTCACTTCTTAGTGAGGACTTGTCGTCAGAGTTGTATCTTAACTAAAGTCAAAGGGACTATATGTAAGCTTTCATATAGTGTTCATTATTAGATACAAGGCCACATTCATATCATTCGGCAGCTGTTTTATTTTTTTATTTTTGTCCAAAATAAGGTGTTATTGTGGCTTTGAAAATATGCATAAAACAGTCAGCAGAAAGGACAAGTTTTCTTAAGGGCTGACTAGCCGAATAAAATCAATGTGACTGATCACCTTTAATTGTATTTGTTCACTTATTAATATGTGCGTTTAGCAAAGAAGAAATCAAAATAAATGTTATTTGGATAACCACACTTAGAAAGCGTAAAATAATGTATAAAATGTAGGTAACGTTCCACATTTCTTTTTAGGGGGTTTCCACGACTTTCTGTTTCATAATTACAATCATTCAATTTCATTTTGTTATTATTTTCCTGCCATCTCCCCTGGTTCTTTTCCTGACGCAGAACAAAATCTCCAGGAAGTTAAGTCCAACAGTTCTAACCGGACTCTTGGGTATTTGCACAATTGAATCTGTGTGTGCGTTAGAAATTCCAAATGAAGGTCATTCCATTGTTTTTCTCTAGACTAAATGAATCGATTCTTATGTTCTAATTTATTCTATTTATTTTTCTGTCGGAAAAAAAAATCTCAAACCATTTCCAGATGTTCAGCCATTCGAAATGTGTCACATCAGTTTCAAATATAGAATTTGTTTTAAACGTATACTCCTATTTTTTTAAGAAACGAGGTGTTCTGTGGTTTTGCCACATCCCACTGCGCTGGAAACGACGCGCCCTTTTTGCGTTTTTGAAACTTTGGGACAGCGGTGCGTTTTTACGCACGACGACGCGATGAGTGTTAGGTGTTCCAGTATTGACCTTCTAGCATCGATCTTCTTCTGTCTGCTTTTAAATTGTGGGAACAACGCCTCGGCATTCGAGGTGACCCTGCTTCACACCAACGACGTCCATGCACGTATTGAAGAGACCAGCAAGGATTCAGGGAAGTGTCCAGTCGGGGGTCCGTGTTTCGGCGGTGTTGCCCGGAGATTTACTAAAGTGTCGGAGATACGCAAAAAGGACAAAAATGTCTTGTTTCTGGATGCTGGAGATCAGTTTCAGGGAACTGTCTGGTTCAACTTCTACAAAGGGGCAGAAGCGGCATACTTTATGAACAAACTTGGTTATGATGTGATGGTGAGAACGAACTATTCTGACGAGCTGATTTTTTTGCAGCAGTAAACATTGTTTAACTTTGTCAGTATGTGACATACTAAGAAACTACCACATCTTTCAAAAATGTCAAATAGGCTTTTGGAAACCACGAGTTTGACAATGGAGTGCAAGGTTTGATCCAGCCCTTCCTTCAGAGCGTAAATTGCTCCATTGTCAGTGCCAACATCAAACCTGACCGAACGCTGGCAGAGCAACTCTTAGGCTACTATCAGCCCTACACCATCATCAGTGTAGGTCCTGAGAAAATTGCAGTGATTGGCTACACCACTGCCGAAACCCCCTTCTTGTCTGTCCCAGGTAGGGTCATATTCTGCTCTTTTCATCAGTCATGTAAAGTGTTGTTAAAAATGTATATGGCCTGCACATTTGTGACCATGTGAAACAAGTGTCTCCTCTTGGTATTAGGTCCTCATCTGAAGTTTTTGGATGAGGTGGAAGCGCTTCAATTGCAAGTAAACAAGCTGGAGACTCTAGGCGTTAATAAGATCATTGCCCTGGGACACTCTGGTTTTGAAGTGGATCGAGACATCGCCAAGCGCGTGAGAGGTGTTGATGTTGTGATTGGAGGACATACCAACACATTCCTCTACACTGGTATTTCTATTTTTATGCTGCTCCAACTTCAAGCTTAGACTTGTTTTCTTTTTTCTTTTTTTCAAGTTAAGCCAGTTAATTTAAGGCATATTTCCAACTTTAGTGTCACCAGAGGCAAGAAGCAGTATACCTAAAAACCTATGATTTTGGTTCTTTTCAGGAACACCTCCATCCACTGAGATTCCCGCAGGTCTATATCCTACTATGGTGCTGTCTGACGATGGAAAAAAAGTGCCAGTGGTTCAGGCATATGCCTTTGGGAAATATCTTGGATACCTAAAAATCACCTTTGATGAGGCTGGGAATGTTGTAAATGCTGTTGGAAACCCCATTTTATTGGACAATAGCATACCTCAAGGTAAACACTGAGAGTAGAAAGTAAACACCTTTACTATCCTTATGATTTGAATACTTTAATGAACTTTTTATCACTTTGTAATCTGTCAGACCAAGGGATTCTTGCTGACGTTGAGAAGTGGAAGAGAAACCTGACTCATTACTCATCACAATATGTCGGGCAGACTTTAGTCTACCTCAACGGAACTTTTGAAGAGTGCCGATTTAGGGAGTGCAACCTTGGAAACCTGATCTGTGATGCTATGGTAAGAAATGCAGAGAATTCCCATTGCTTTCACAGTTCATTCTGAACCCTGTGCTTTACTGAAACCATTTTTATTGTTTTTTTCACTCTTATCTTTGGACTGGCTGTAAACTCTGGTCGGGCCCATGTACTTACGGGACCTTTTCACTAAAGGTTACAACAACATGTCTGAGACTTTTCAAAAGGATTTCTCCTGTCTAACTTATCTCCCTTTTGGATTAACAGATATATCACAACATAAAGTATCCGGACGAGCTGCAGTGGAATCATGTGGGCATGTGTATGCTGAATAGTGGGGCTATACGAACTGCAATAGATGAACGCTACAAAAATGGTAATTAAGGGTTTTTCAATCTTTTCCTTTTCAGAAGTGATTCACAGCGGCCACTGCTCTGTTTCTGAAATGATTTCATAACATGCCAAAATTCTCTCGTATGTGACAGGTACCATCACAATGGAGGAGATCCTCACTGTCCTACCATTTGGAGGAACCTTTGACTTGGTACAGATGAAAGGATCAACTGTGAAAAAAGCTTTTGAGCACTCTGTCCATAGATATGGAAGTATGTCTGGAGAGTTTCTTCAAGTCTCGGGTTTGTACTTGACATCCCTCCAGCATGGAGCCCTTTCTATCCGTCAGACTATTATCAGCAACATTTTAGATTTGAAAATATTGCTAGAGACGGTTCACCACTTGTATGCTTACACACAGTGGACACTACAAGCATCTTTGCTCACTTGGCTGCTTGGGATGCCAAACGACATTAGAAGAATAAAGAAGCTTAAATATTAGACACAAAAAACTGCAGTAAGATTTTGTTTAAAGGCTTGGTGACAGGTCAGTTTTGTATTTCAGTAAGACTAAACATGGAACTGGTAGCTGACAGAAATAAAAATAGGGGATTTTCTTTTCGTGTGCTTCATATCAGCAGATTCAAAACAGACAAAACGTATTAAAAACAATATAAAAAGTAGGGAAATAAGTGAGGACAATGAACAATGCAATAGTATTGTTAAGTTTGATTAATTTAGTGAGAACTAAGTTTGCAAAAGCTTTTTTCTTGCATTGTTAATCATTTAAATCCTCATAATTTAACTACTTGTAACTAACCAGTGGAAGGAGGAATAGGCTCCATTTCTCCAGCGAACCTGAACTGAATTATTAAATAAACAGGTATGGAGAATAGAGGGGTGGATGTTTTACACTCAAGTGGATTTCGGACTAAGTTCTGGACAAAATCAAATTAAGTTCAGTTCAGCCACAGCTTTAAACTTTCCCAATATAACCCCTCAAGCTGACAAAAAAACACTTCACCATCTGAAAATAAATGATATTTTCTTTTTTTACGGAATATTTGAACAGGTATTCATGTAGAGTACGACCTCTCCAAGCCAGCAAATCAGCGTGTCATTTCGATCTCGATGCTCTGCACTGAGTGTCGAGTGCCCAAATACGAACCCCTGGACCTGCAGAGGACGTACACTGTGGTCATGCCTTCGTACATGGTGGATGGAGGTGATGGCTTTAAAATGATCAAGGAGGAGCTACTGAAGCATAACACAGGTGGGTGTTCTTTTTTATCGTGTAAGTGAGTTCCTTTTTGTGTCTGTCTGTAGTTTGTCTCATTTATTCACTGGATGATATGAAAAAGGATAGCCAAGCAAAGATGAATCACTTAGCAGCAAATATTTTATAGCAAATACGATCTGCTCTTAGGGGCTGTGGGAACCAGTCTGTCGTCACCTGTATCCTCAAATGTTATCTACAGTAACAGGACCACATCCCACAGACACTGCACTTCAGCAGTGACTTGAATATTTATGAGTTTTAATTATTCCAGACTCTGCAAAAGTGGACCAACCAGCTTAATCATTATCTGCACAAAGGTCACATGAAGAATTTTAGTGTTAAATCACCTACTCAGCAGCTGTTCTCGGGTTGAGTGCTGAGCTTCATCTTAGCCATGTTTGAGCGTTTTAATTTCTCTGTTGTTAAAGGATGTGACATTTAAAAAAGCAGTAGCAGATCAGCAAGCAGTACTATTAGCAGATTAGGGAAGATTACTAATTAGTCATTGTATGTTATTGTGATGTTGAACTTAGGTCTCTCCGTCCGTTTAAATATCAAATCATTCTGTTGTCTAGGTCAGCGGAGTAAACATGTTAATGGTGTAAGGCATCTTAAATCCTCCAGCATTTTCCCCGCCACTGTGCATAGTTTCCATGTCAAATAATGCAATCATCTTATATTGTAGGTCTAACACTGTAGTTAATAAAAAGTCTATTAATGCTAATTTCAAGATGGCTGGTCATGTTAAACGTTTTACCTTGCATGTTCAATAGTTCTCTGTTGATTTGTACAGTATTTGAGCTTCTTAAGAGTTGACATATCAGTCTTTAGCAGGGTGTACTAGGCTGAAATCCACTGGCGTCAATAAGACACAGTTGGATTTCCCCTGAATCACCACAGTGATCCAGGTGGCTTCCAGATAACTGTTTATCATTAAAAAGCCTCCAGCGAATTGTTTCCACTACAAGAACATTATTACACTGCACTATCTCTTCCCTCCAACTGCAATAACCAGACCCCCCTATTTCAGCAGTAATGCCATTCTATATTGTGTTTAACTGGTTTGACTTACTCTTCTTATGGTGGCCCACGATTGTAGCAATTGCAATGATTGTAGCAACTATAACCAACAAAGATTTATGAAGTATGCTAGGGATGGTTTGAAAATGCATAGCAGAGCACGTAGAGGAAACCAGTATAATGGCAGAAGAATGGGGTGTTTGCAAACTGTTTGGGGCCATTCAAATCTCAAATTGACTTGCTAAAAAATCAGGAGTGGAACACTCATTTACTGAAATGAGGGAGGATTTTTTTTTTCTTCTCTAGACCCTTTCACAGTTTCAGTTACTCCTCTGCATTTGCATGCCACGCATTAGATTCATCAAGAGATTAGAACTGCTGTAACAAGAGATTTATGTACCAACAAGTAACACCTGATTATTTATGATTACACATCTGACATCATCATCTCTGCTCAAGTGAATTACTGATTCAGCGTTATTTGAATATGGATCTGCGTGTTGTTTATTTTTTGTTTGGTTTCTTCTGTAGTGAAATGTTTGGAAACTACTACTAAAACAAAACCAACACCATTAATGAACAATTCTAGTGCACTGGATGTCCTGTCATTAAGTGACTGTGTCTATATGATCGCCTAAAGCCATCAACACTTCCATTAAAGAGTATTTCTCCACCTCACCAGTGTATAGATTCCATCCGTGTGCCTGCAGGGTGAAGAAACACAATTATTACTGTATAAAGCCTTTTCTTATGGTTTGTTTACTTAAATTTCCAATGTTGCTGTGCTCTGTTACCGTACAAGAATGCTAAGCAAGGTTTGACAATTCAATTATGGTATATGTGTGTGAGACCAAGCTTGAATTATGGCCCAAGGAACCTTTCATGTTTATACCTCTCATCTTATGCCTGCTCCTGTTTATGTGCTATAAAGAATCATCACACTTTCTGCAAAATAGAATAAAAAATATGTCTCTTTCTGCTTTTGCAGGTGATATGGACATCTCTGTCTTTTCCAACTATATCTTGGAGAGGAAGCGTGTGTACCCGGCTGTGGAAGGCCGAATCAGATTCAGGAGCTCAGCTGTCTTTCTAACCTGCGGCCTCAACTTGCTGCTAGTGAGTCTCTGGATCTCACTGATCCTATGAATTGCTTTTTTCCACAGGGATATTATTACAAACGGAAAGGTTTAAAATTTTCTTCAGGAGATAGGTCACTGCCTTTCTTATTTACCATTTCTAAGGAATGCTTGAAGACAAACCAACTGAGAAGTTAGCCTCTTGGTAAAAAAAAAAGTTGAGGTATATTTCATTATGTTTATGCATTTAGCAGATTCTTTTATCCAAAGCGACTTACAAAGTAGGGGCGCTCTGAGAGTTTAACTGGGGACCTCTTTATCTGCAGTTAAATATTGTACCACTGAGCTATCCCCTCAAATACACAACACCTAATCACATACACGGAAAAGCTCTGTATCAAAGACATTTTTTTCTTTCAGGATGTATAAGGATGTATAAGCTGCACATTGATCAATACAGAAAATATATGTTGCCTTTCAGTTATGGTTTTTGTATCTTTTTGCAATGTATTCTTAATTAAATACACATATATATTTCTATGTAATGACAAATAAAATAATGAAAATCATGCCTGAGATTGATTATTCTGTCTTTTGTATAGATGATCAACTGTTTTCCTCCCCATTTCATCTTAGTTGTTGGATATTTGTTCATTTCAATGTGATGATATATGAAGGATGGTATATTTTACTAGACTGAGTGCTTATTTTGTCTGTTATTCTTTAATATTATCAACTCATGTCTAAGTCAAAGAGCTATAATCTGTTTGGTTTTTTGTGGTTGCTATTGAACAAACCTGTGAATTTTGTGACTGTGTAAACAAACACGAGACCATAGCTTTGTGAGTCTTAAAGCTTCCTTTTAGGTTTTAATACACCAGTCAACAGCAGTTGTTAAAACACAAGCACACTATTACACTGTTAGCTGCACTTTCTCTTAGCATTGATCTATATTGTAAATATTTTTATATTAGGATACTTATTTTACAAATCAATTACACACAAATTTAACAGGAGGAATCTTTATTTCCCTCTTTTGCAACAGCAACCATCTGGATCAGTTACTGTAAGATCATATTTACACCTGGAATTAATATGAAACTTGGGTGACAAAAGTCCAAGTTGACAGGTCTGAGTACATGAATAAACACACAAGATGCATAAGCAAAACTTTGAGATAATATGGAGGACATGGGGTGCATGTTGCCCGTTTAACAGTGTAAACAAAAAATTTCTCTAGGCCACTATGAAGCAGCATCCTCTGGAATAATTTTTCTAAAAGTTATCTTTGCCATAGCGCTCTGATTATTTAAAGTTGAGGTGGATGTATCAGAAGATATCTGTCTGACTTGTTGACCCAGGGAGCTTTATTTCACTCTTTGCCTCAAATATCAATACCAGAGAGGAGAATAATTCTGGTCGTATAAGCAAGGTCTTTAATAAAAAAATAAAGGACATCGATGGGCAGTTTTCAAAAGTTTATATCATGTAATGTAGTTTGATCCAATTTTGATAGCATATTTGCCATATAAAGAGATTTTCCTGGTCAATAAATAAATTGAAATTGAAATCAATAAATAGAATAAATTTACGACAAAAAAAACAGTGTAATGTCCACAACTGACTTTGTGCAATGCAGATTATTGGCAAAAAAGGTTGTGCAGCCGGACCGGGTCACGTGGCCAGTCAAGATGAATGCAGACTCATTCATAATTCCAGGTGTGAAATGACATACTTGGATAACCCAAGGCACATGATAACATCAGGGCTTAAAGGATGAGTTCATTTCAGACCTGAATCTTAGCTCAAATAAAAAAAACGAAGCCATCACATCCATGAAGCCACCAGAGAAGTCTCTTTCTGTACCTGCTGAGAAAATAGAAAGATATAATCTCTCAAAATCTCTCAAGAAATTCCTCAAAATAAATAGTATACATTGAAAATGATTCAAATTAAATTCTATTTGTTTTGAAATGTGGATTTATTGTTGGTGTACCTTGTTCAGCTCTGGAAAAAGTTCCTGAATCACTATGTCCAGTAACACATATGTCAGCTGAGGAAGGTAAAGGGGAGGGAGACGGGCGTGAGAATGAGGCCGGTAACTTTCAAATAAAATATGAAAAATTTGTAACTGGATGACAATCCAAATTGGTTTTCAATGCATCCCTGAGCAAACATTTGACTGTGTTCAGAGATGTGCAGCAAGCAGTTGACCCACTTTTCATCTTATATCATGTTACATTTCAACTTGGGTTCTTTTTTGGCCTAACTGCACTTCTAGCAGACCAAACATATGCAACGGTGAGGAGGGCGTCCTATGTACCTGTTTGTTGAGAACCGGCTGCTGCAATCCATCAAAGAGAAGGCGTACCCCTTCAAACTTGGCCTCTTCCCCGATGCACTTCGTCAATAAATCTGAATAGAGTAGTGATCTTTAGTCTGAGCAACGTGAAAATTGTCCTTGCATCTGGAAATGTGTCATGGGTGTTGAAAAAGGTGGCTTAAATGTTAGAAAATATCACCTGGAAGCACCAACAAATACCTGGAATATAGCGCATCATCTCATCGAAGGTCCTCTTTGCCCTGCTCTGTTTGTCCGGGGCAGAGCGGGGCAGGCTGCTCTCGCAGAAAACTGTATCTAAAGAGGCAAATAATCATTGCTTTTACTGAACCAGTTTAACAGCTAAGAACATATCAGAAACACTCTCTCATAGAGGTGTACCTCGAAGCAGGGTGATGAGAGAGACCAGCCGGTGCTCCTGGACCACCTGGTTCAATTTGTGCTGAAGGTAATGATCTGTGTAAGCCTCCAGGGTGTTTTTAAACAGGATCCTACCACCCATGAGAAGGTGGTGCAGCCAGTCAGGAATATGAAAGACAACACGGCCTGGTGGCAAAGGATTAAGAGGAGGAAAGACCTTAAAACTGGAGTGAAGTAATCCACAAAAAAATTTCAAAAAGCATCTTTAATTTTTATATCTTATTTCACATATTGAACTAGCACTTGGAAATTCAATAGTAATAACACAAAATGGTAGCAGACCTCAAACAACGTATATTCATCTGATGTGCATGCTCAACAAGATTCTCCCCTCTGCAGAAATGACCACTACATTCAGACTGAACCATATAGACTGTTGTGGTTAATGTTCCAGGAGATTGGTCTTTGCTGAGGACCTCACACCAGTTTCAATTCCTGGATACAAGTGACCTATTACTACATGAAAATGCCAAAGTAGTGGGCAAAAATTGAGCTTTTTAAAGTGGTCCTGAGCAATAGTTCTCCAGTCTCTCTGAATGTGTTGATATTGGCTTCTTATATGAATTTTCAGCCCAGTCTTTGTGACTTCATCCCTTTAACTGCCTGGTGTGTGTCCACTGCCAATAGCTTAGCAAAAAAAAGGTGCATTAAATTGCCTCTGAAGGTGCTTTCTGACTCACAGCCAGACACAGAGAAACAGAGACACCTGATGGGTTCTAATTTCTTATAATGCATCTGTTAAAAAGAGACTTAACTGACTTTTTTTTTGGGGGGGGGGGTTCAACAAGGGGATATAAAAGCTCCTGGATGAAGACTTGCTACCTCTCAACTTGATGCAGAGTGTCTCCATGAAAGGACTGAGAAAACTGTGGGTGTGGAGAGCAACAAAATATGTGGAAGGTCTAACAGAGGATTGAACTTTTTCTGAAAGGGATATCCTTAAGATAAAGGAAAAATCCAGCAAAGACCTGGTAAAGGAAGGGTGGTGTCACAAAGACGCTTTTAGAAAAGGGGAGGAAGATAAGAGGCTGAGGTATTCCAAGACATTTGAAAAAAGATCATCCTCACCAGAGCCCAGATCTCAACATTACTGATGCAGTCTGATTTTTCTCTACTTACATTTGACCAGACCAGTTTCAATAAATCACTGCACCTTTTCCCCATTTCACCAGTAATGGGGAAAACAAAGAGAGCTTCAAGGCTTACTGCCCCCCTCCTGTGTTGTTGTATAGACTTGATGAGTTAAAGGGGACATCATCTCTAGTCCCAAAATACTCTGTTTCAAAACTATACTTTCTATTCAAGTCATTAATCAAAGGTTTGGACCCACCACATACAAATTCAAGCCTCTGCATACTGCTTCTACCACTTCTATATTGATACTTAAAATGGTAAAACTGCCCTGACCAACCTGCAGAAACAACAGCCGTATGCAGAGTTTCAGCTCCAAACTTCCATGGAACTTAATGTTCAAAGCTCATTCAGTTTTAAGGAGCAACCACCAGTCGATCATCTCAATACAGACGCCCAGCTAAAATGTAATATTGTTGAAATCTCAGTTTTGCTATTGTGTGGGGTAACCTGAAAACATTTGGAGACTGCCAGAGTTTGTTTTGACCAAAGTGAGTCGTCTTAACATACATACACATGTTCTAACACGACTTTCATGCAAGTTCTTCAGTTAAACATATTTCATGCGAACCTGTGTGGGTTGGTTTTAAATGGGTGTGTGGCTTCAACAACTGTTCCTGTGAAATGGCTTAACCCCTACATACGGGCGTGCACTGTGTTTACACAAGGTGATTTCCTGCTGTTGTGCTGCTAGCGTCACTAAAGGCAATACACTTAAGCTTCTCAGATGTATGAAGTGGGAGTTCATTCCTAAATCAGCAGAGAAACACTTGGCATGTTTTCCTCATTTGAGAGCAGGTTTAAGTGGCTTTTGCGTGTAAATAATAATGAAAAACACTGTAAGAAAATGCATTGCAGTGGAATAGCATAGAAATATTGGAAAGAAAGGCCTTTCAGAAAGAGAGTTTTCTATAGAAAAGAACACCTTTCTTTGGTGTAGATGTGGTCTTTTCACATTTAATTTCAATCACTCAGGAGTTCATCTCTCGCACACCCACTCATGTTTCCACCAGAGGGAAGGGAACATGCACCAGACAGGAGAAAATAACATGTTCATAACTTCGCACTGCATCATTTTTTTTCCTCTTCAAAATGGAAATAAAACTTTGATTTCCCATAGAAACGGCCTTTAGCACTGCATAGGCTGTATAGTGTAACATGCCGAAAAGTGTCACTTACATCAAGATGACTCATTCACATTTTAAAGTTCCACATCCAAAAGCCTCGAAACCACACCACTCATGAATGTTTCTTTATTTCTAAATGGTTTATAGCTTTTCTTTTTTCTTTTCATTTAATATTTCTTATATAAATTTTCTCCTAAACATTACCCAGGTAAAAATTAAACATAAAAAAATTACGTTTTTGTATTCCTAAGCTCCTGCTGAGTACAATTTAGAACAAACTAGAAACACCCTATAGAACTTTCACACTTACATGTGAAAGTTGTTCTCAGTTTGTCTTTGTATGTTTGCGTCTTTCCTAATAAAATTAAATTTAAATAGACCCATATTAAATAAGTCCCTCAATTTAAAGGCCAACAAAAAGGAGTTAAAAAAGGGATGAACTGAATATTGAAATAAAAGCAATGTAGGGTGCCAAAGCGAACTATTACCAAAACAAACTATTTGACTTACCCACATACATTAAGTAGTCATACACCCCTTCAACAGTGATCATTTCCATGAAGTAGTTCTGATTGTGTCTCTTCTCTGTCATCTCTGATCGGTTGGCATTGTTTTTGAAGAGGTCATTGAAGAGCTGGAGAAAAGCAGTTTTTTTTAGTCTGGAGACCACTTAACACCCACTGACTGCACTATTTAGTACTAAAAGCACTTTTCTGTAATGACAGGATGACATAAAAGAGGTCAATGATGCTTTTTTCTATCCATCCATCCATTTTCTATTCAGCGCATTCCCAACAGGGTTGCGGGGGGGTTGGAGCCTATCCCAGCTGAGAGCAGTCAAGAGGCAGGGTACATCCTGGACAGGTCGCCAGTCCATCACAGAGCCACACAGAGACAAACAACCACACACACTCACATCTCTTCCTGGGAGCAATTTAGAGTGTGTACTTCACCTAACACGCATGTTTTTGGACGGTGGGAGGAAGCCGGGGTTACGCTTTTTTTCATCACATTTAAGTCAACCAGAGATGTTTTGAATTTTGAAATGTGCAAAGCTTTTAGACTCGCTATCACTCGTCGTCTGCTAGCTTCACCACTCAAATGCTGTCAGTGTTATTCGTTAGTGTCCGACCTGATCGCAGCTGAACCATTTCTAGAGATGACTCTGCTGATCCAGTTTGTTCCAAGAGGGATGTTTGCACACATGTTTGAAAGCCTCAATAAGATGGAATGAACAAACACAAACACTACAATTCCCCCTGAATGCGAGGCTGTTACACTCTTTTCATGTTTCGTTTTTCTAGTTTAGTTTCCTTGTACTGGGAGAAAATCCTGTAAAGACTGGCATCATTACTTTAAGAGACAAATTAACACTTTCCATCTTGGTTGATACAATACCTTCAATTGGTCTTTAAGCATTTTAGCTCCACAAAACAATCCTACAAAAGTCAACATACCCTAGGACTAGGCTTGCAAACGGAGAAAGAGGATCACAGTTTTAAAGGTATAAAAAAGGGACTGCCAACCTTTTTATCATTCTCTGAGGTGGGGCTCAGGATCGTGAGCTCAGGGCGGCTGGGTTTTGGTTTAGGAGATTCACAGGAGTTGAAGTACGACTGGATGAAAGGCTCTAGATGTTGCCCTTTCTAAAGAAAAGAGCAGAGGAAATTATCGCTGAGGTTAATTCTCAAAGGTGAATACCATTCAACATGTTTATTTTGTATGAGAGAAAAAAGTAGAGCAACATACATATTAAAACTGTTCTGTTTCTCACCTCTTTTATCAGTTTGCTGGGCACTGACTTAATGATTTTCCCTGTGAATCATAAATATTTAAACTCAGTGATGTATGGTGTTGTCACTTTTTGCCTCCAATTCACAAACATACGTTTTCACGGTGACCTGAGGTCAGCCTGATCAAACATTTTCACAGTGTTTGAAATGTTCTGCACTTCTCGCATAATTTATCTTACTAGTCTCACACAGTTTGGAGAAAATTTGCCTCATACTGTACCAAGATTCACATCAGGTAACATCTTGTCCAGGAACTGAGACTCCATGCTATAGGGAGACAGGAAGTCAGCCAACAGCTGGCTGTTGCTCAGCTCAGGATGCTGCAGAAGGTTCTGCAAAGAAACAAAACAAATTAACACATCTGCTTAAAATCTGATCGGGACTTTTAAGGTAACACTGTTCGAATTAAAATAAAAAATGTAACTCAAACTTCCCTACGGAGGGATTTCTAAAACATTTTAGAGCTGCAAAGCGACCGACTATTTTCCATGTAGTCTCTCACATACTGACACAAGTTCTCCAGTCAGCGCTTTGAATAACTCTCTTCCAGTATACAATAGACAGAATTTTAGAGACATGTTGCTGTTTTCTGCATTATCATTTCTGACCTTATGGTGATTAAACGTTTCGTTTTCAGAATACTCTAGACAGCATAAAAACATCAAAGAGAAATAGTTAATATTCACCTTATAGTTACTGAAAAGTATCTGGCTTGAGTTTTGACCCAAAAAAATGGAGTACAAAAAAAAGTGGCTGAAAGACTTTTGCACATCCAGGAGAGCTTTAGGAATGTAAACGTAAAACTTTTATAGAGGTGCTCTCCTGGAAAGCACCTCAGATATATCACTTTCAGATATGTGCACTGGAAAAACTTGGCAATGCATCTTAGGGAATTGTTGAGTCCTTGGCATGCTGGAACCTACCGCATTTTTCTTTTTACATCAACATTTGAAAATAACCAGGCAGAGGGAAGGTTTTCTTTACTGTTTTCACCTTAATAATGGCTAAATCGCTCTAAGTCAAAATCCTTTCCAGCTACAGTCCACATCCAGGCTATGCAGCATAAGAACTGCATAGCCTTACCACAATTTTTGTTCACTTGAAATGCCTATGTTTCATCTAATGAAATATTCAAAAGATAGATGATTGCACCGGTTACAAATAATTAATTTAAAAAACTTTAATAAAGAAAGTTTTTTTGTCACCTAATTGTTTTAGGGAGTCATGTTGTCTCAGAAGATAAATATTTGATCTAAAACATTTTTCATTTTATTGGTATTTTTATTGGAATTTTTTATGGGAATTTGGCACATTTTCTACATAAAAAATCTAGTTAAACGTGAAAAATAATAACTAAATCTAATTTGAACTTTAAACCAAGACTCCTCAAATCAAGAAAACTATTTAAAACTTAAATGGAAGCATTTGTTGTAATATATATATATATATATAAAGATATCTACATGATATATTACCTAATTTCTATTGGACTTCCTTGACCAGTCATCAATCTTTGATACTCTCACAGTCTTAAGAGTATTAATAAATATCTACCTGAAGGTAGCCCTGAAACTCCTCCCGCTTGGATCTTAGAAACTCATAATTCTTTGGGCCGATTATCCTCTTAGAAGGTAACTGTGCATCTGGGAAGGAGCCTGCAGACAATGCAAATGTTCAAAGAGAGAAGCAGAAAAGAAATTATTAAAATGTATTAAAAATACAAGGTTCAAGCTAATGTTGTAAAGGTATGTGTTTTTAGAAGACACAACTAGGCAATTAAATTAAATTAATTTGCGTTCTCATGAAAATGAATGCACAAAAGAGCAGCTCTCAGGATCTCCAGTCAAAAACACACCAACAAGCAGAAAGCCTACCATGAAACTCAGTGAGCTTTGACTCAAGGACATAAAACTCCAGATATCGTCTGTACACAGACCAGTGCTCAGTCTCATGTCCCACTGCCGAAAAGAACAAACATCAAGAGTTAATACACTGAATCAGCCCTTAGCCTAATTCTTATCTGCACACAAATCAGCTATTCATAGCAGGAGCTGAGAGGGCAGCGAGAGGTCATCTTCAACATCCCACACCATCAGGTGATTACAGTGTTCCAGTTCTTTGCCATCTCAGAAATATATGTTTATGCATTTAAAAGATGCTTTTACCCAAACTGACGTACAAAGTATGACATATACATGGTCATCTCCCCATCAGGGAATCGAGCCCCAGTCTCCCATGTCTCCCCTATACTAACCCCCACCCCATATGTACAGTTTTGGTGAAATAACAAACTTAGATGTTGTTTTGTGAGCGTAAATAATCAACTATCTGCCTGTTGGTCAATTATTAATACCTTTTAATACATCGTGGTCTGAGTTCAGTCACTAATTAACCAACTGACAGCAGCATCACAGCAAAATTAAATTCCTTTGGAAGAGATAACACAGCTCAGGCTAACACAGCATGCAACATAGAAGAGCGACCTCTGTCAGACTACATTACTTTGGGATCCAGAAAAAAGCTCTGCACACGCTCACCTGCCTTCCGGTCATTACGCTCCACGTCGATACAGAACACGGGAATTCTCTCCCTCTTTATATCATCATCATAGAAATCAATGTACGGGATGGTGATGCTCCAAGCTGAGAGGTTTCGAGGGGTGCTCGGGGTAGAGGCTGCCTCCATGGGGGAGTCATCCTCAAGCACCATCATGGCTTCCTCCACCTTTAACGGAGGAAAGTTAGACAAGTTAAGCTGGAGTATGAGTGCAGTACTTTGAAGAACTATTCACTGCCTTTGGCAGTATTTCTAATAAACCATAGAGGGTGGGATCGAAACATATTTTGGGGGGATTGTATCATCCAAATATAATTCTATCACTTTGCTGGTACAAAGTGTTTGATTCTTTTGTCAGTACTGTGTAGAACTGTCTTTTTCTGCTTTCCAGCGTGTCCAGCTTGTTAGATCATGCAAAAAAATGTTCAACTGCAGTTAAGTCTGAACTTTAACAGTGCCATTAGAAAAACTTAAATATTTCCCTTTGAGCCATTTCAGTGTTGCCTCAGCACTGACGACAGTCCCACTCAGTTCTTTGGAGCATGTATTACCAAATCACCATCAAATATTCTTTCATCGTGACAAATTTCCAACCGCTGCCCATGAACACAATTTTTCAGAAACCACAATTCAACCATGTGGGGATGATGATCCCTGATCAATGTTGGGTAGGAGTTATTTTTTTTCCAACTTTAGTCACTTAAGAGCAGTGAACTGTCCTCCAAAACATTGCGAGTCTCAAATACATTTTGGTGGACTGCAAACATATTTTTTTCCATCCTTTTAAGAAAGGCTTTTCTGGTCACGTAGAAGCTCTTTACACTAACACCTCACACTGCTGCTCTTTGTTTTTATTCCTTTCAGCTTGGTCTGTGAGTTTAGGTGGTCTGCCCTTCCCTGTCTAGTTTATTGTGATGTCATGTTCTTTCCATACCTCTAATAACATAATGGTTCTCTGAGGGATGGAATGACATTTCCTGTTTCTTTTTTGCCCAAATCCAAACTGTGTTGCCCAGAAACAATTCCCTGACATTTTTCTAGAGCTCCTTATTCCTTGTTCCCTGTTTTTTTCTGAAATATTTTAACATTTAAAGTGTACCTCTCCTGTATTTACATACTGTCATTGCATACAGTGAGGGAATCATTGTTCAAGGCAGTAGAAAAGGGTCATTCTGTATCAGATATGTAGCAGTTCAGCTGAACAGAATTAAAAGAAAAAACTATGTGTAAATAGGTCTAGAAATCATTGTTGGATCTTACAATTGAATGCTTTAAACTTGTGAATCACAAAGTAAATGTTTCTACACAGAAAATGTGAAAGTGTAGTACACATAAACAAACACACATGCAATTAATATTTGGAAAGGAAGTCAAAGCGGAAACACAGGATATCCATCCATCCATGTTCGTAACCGCTTAATCCCTAATGGGGTCGCGGGGAGGAACTGGAGCCTAACCCAGTAGTCAATGGGTGAGAGGCGGGGTACACCCTGGGCGATCCGCCAGCCAATCGCAGGGCCACACAGAGACATACATGGACGAAAAACCACGCACACTCACTCCTAAGGGCAATTTGGTATGTCCAATCAACCCGACGTGCAGGTTTTTGGACCGTGGGATGAAGCCGGAGAACCAACGCAGACGTAGGGGGAAACATGCAGACTCCACACAGAGAGGTCCTGGTCCCCCCTGGGACTCGATCCCAGAACCCTCTTGCTGTGAGGCTTTGGTGCTAACCACCACAGGTGCTGCCCCAAAACCCACAGGATATCCATTTTCATAAATCACTGGACATGCAATTCAAGAAATACTCTCACACTCTGGAGTACAGTAGCAGACTGTTTAAACTACAGCTGATCATTCAGTGCAAAACGGTTAAATAGAAACAGTGAGAATAGAAAACATAAAAAAGATAGGAGCACAGGACGAGTGAAGAATAGCACTTTGCGATGTAAAATCAGCTAAGCTGTCAGGTTTACACACATCCGTATATAGATTAAACCAAGCACCATCAGCTACAAAAACCCAGAATTTAGTATCTTCAGTTATGTGGATGTTTGGAAAAGACTTCCACTGTTGATGAGTCCAACACCTGCATTGTCATGAAAAAAAAAGAATAATTCTGTTTTCTTTGCTAAGCAGTGCCCCCCTGTGGCTGCCTTTATGTGCTTCAATTTGCAAATGTATTGCTATGTTAAAAAAACAACAAAAGAAAGCAATATTTGAGATATTTCTCTGTAAAAAACAAATTGCGTCTCACAATTAACATGTATGAAGAACACACATAGATAATTGGTATGACCTGGCCTTTATGAAAACATTAAAAGACTACTTTTTAGACTACTTCTAGTCTCACCATATCATCCTCTCCCTCTACCAGCCCATAGGATGGCAGCATGGCTCCCTCCATGGTGGTGCTCTTGAACACTCCTTTGATCTTACTGCCAATGCGGCTGATCCCAAAGGACTCTCCTCTCTTTGAAGAGCTCCTGCAGTTCGAACAGGGAGGATATTGAACAATGACTGATGAAGGAGACGCGTGTGGGTTTAGCGAAGAGCATGCGGTGTGAGACTATCATCTGAAAATCAGGCATAAAGAACAGGAAGAAAACAAACTGCATCGAAAGCATATGTTTGCATGGGAGGAGAAAGCTTTGACAGCCAAACCCAGGCCAAAATGTCACTTCACACATCTTACAATGGCAAAAGCTTAGAATGGTGGTAAAACACTGAAGCAAACAAAGCAGTGAACATCAATATCATAGAATAAAGTCTAATTCAAAACAGATCTACTGACCGTAATCACTAAAAAAAATGCAATGCGATCAATTACCAGTAAACCAGATAAGGCACACATCACATGTGCTCAGCGTGGGTGTCTGTGAGATTAAGATAATTAAAAAATAACCACAAGGTGGATTGTGACGTACGTAGACATAGGCAAGTCACTGCATTGTCAACAACCACAGCAAAAGGTGGAGGGGGGGGTATATAAATCAAACAGGTTTCTGCATGCAGCTGACCAATCATGCAGGCATCTGACTGGTGCTGGGGCCACATGGAGGGGGAAAATGGAGCGTGTTGTGACACACAGATGGACCCTGACTTACTTGGGCGATGAGTGGCGGTGGGATAGCGAGCCATATGGGAAGTTTGTGAACGTGGACTGGGCATGGAGGGAGTTAAAGGATGCAGGTGAGGAGCTGCCAGAGACGCTGAAGAGTGAGGACAGGGACTCAGGGCTCCAGTCCCAGGAACTATAAGCAGAACAGGGTCAAATCCCCATGGGCAAAGTGGTGGGAGAGGACCGTGGATCATATCAGGGCAGGCAGAATGGTAGTAAAGGAACCAGAGTGGACATAAAGTCACAGACACAGCACGGTGGTGGCCATACAGGATGGAGTAACGGGCAGACAATCAGGCAAAGTGGAGAAGGTTTCTCAGTTGCAGATATGAAGGAGTTTAGGGTCTTAGTTGCATGGTTTTTATCAAAAAGAATCTCTGATTGATCCAGTGAAAGTCTTTATTTGTTGCTGTATCAATCCTCTTCGAGGAGCAGTGCTTGTTCTGCATGGAGGCTGCCTTCATAACTAAACCAAATCTAAATCAGAAACAACTGACAATACCTAAACGTGAATTCAACATTCTTCCCTCTGCATTACCGTTACTCATGTTTCATTTGCAGGTTTTAGAAGCAGGAAAATTGTGATTTACCAAGAAACCAGAAAACTTTAACCTAAACTCACTTGACTGTTGATGAACACATAATTAATGATGACTCAGCATGAGCAGCATCAATCTTCCCTCTTTGCATTCACAATGTAATCACCAAATAAAATACACATCCAGCCCTCAAATCATATCAGTCATAAAAGTAGAAATCCTACTCCTGTTATCAACTGGCGCTCACTACATTGAAATTCTGATTGCGGGTCCAGGCCACAGTGAATTGTTAAAAAAGGCGGCACATAGCCCTCTTCAGGCAAGAATGAGTTCTCTTTTGTATCTTGCGTGCAGCCCTGCTAAGCCAGCCACTGTTTTGATCAGCACACTGATGCCTTATACTCACCTTATATCATCCAGACTCAGGCTATTTCTGGAACAATATGCAAAGGAGTTAGTGGAAGGACTCCACCTGCAACCCACCACACCTCATAAAGGGAATCAGACCTAGGCCTCATATAAATTCCCTAGTTTTGCAGATGAAACTTGAACTACATTGGTGTTAGGGAGATTTACTGGGCACAGATCATACAATACCTTCAAAATTCAGAGGCTGTGGGGATACAGAGTCGTAAAACTTCAAAATTTTGTCAAACTCAGGAAAAAAAACTACAGGGGAAACCAGTAAAACGATGGAGCAAGATGTGATACGAAAGAAAGAAAAACATTTTCTGTGTACAAAGTGAAATAGTAGAGACTCCCTTTGTGACTGAATGGCTTTGTTCCCTATAATAAAAACATTAGCAGAGTATTTCTAGACTAGGATTTTAATTTGTTACTTAATCACAAATTCTTGTGGAGTAAAACCCACCTGCTCATCTTGGAATTCCTGGCAGGGGACTCGGCTCCTCTCAGAAGCTGGCGAAAGTACTGAAGAGAGATGTGGACAAAGAAGACAAAGAAGGTCACAAAGATGCAAGTTCTCAGGCAGCAAATCTCTTAAATAACAGAAATATGCTAATTCTAGATATAATTTCATGGTTAAATAATAAGGTAGATGTCGTGTTTATTTGGGAGCAAAGACAGGAACAAAAACAAATATAATATGAATTTCAGCACACTATTCAAGCAGGAAAGGGGCCTGCTGTGAACAATGGCTCAACAATGGCTCCGCCCAGTTTCATTCAATGAAACTGCCTCTGAGGGGTGAAATTTTGCTTGGCAGCTTGGCATTACGCCACCGCTCCTCATTGGTCAGTTGTGCGTCTGGCATTATTGACCAGGCTAATGGTGATTGGTGGCTGAGAGGTCAGAGGAGGATAGGGCCACTGAGTCAACAAATTCCAAATGAGCTGGGGCTTCTGTTCGCACAGACCAAATCAAAACGACAGGTTTTAGAGTTTACTACTGTTACTGGTTGTGAAATCAGATCAGATTCTATTAGGACTACAAAGTGGGGAGAGGGCAGGGTTGGAAATACATCCCACTTATGTCGTCGACACTGACCTCGTCACTATGACAGAACATGGGGGTGAAAACGTTCTCCAGGAGGGACAGAACGTGCTCATAGGCTTCAAACAAGCACCGCATGGTCTGCAGTTTCACCACCTCTGTATACGGGCCTACAGCAACTGGGGGAAAAAAGCATGTATTAGTTTGTCGTTTTATGCCATGACTTTAGAAACCTCTGATGAAAGTTTCTGTTGAATAAGAGGATGGTTAGCTGATTTTTAAAAAGTCTGTTTGTTTCAATGCTTTGGAAAAGTTTTCGATGAATGTTGTAAGGGGTGAACTTGGAATAGGGTGAAACTTGAGTAAGTGTCATTATTTTGGTGACATATGAAGATTAACCGGGTATACATGCTTAAATAAAACTTTGATTTCTGAATTAATTCGGTTTCTCACTTACTGTTCCGTATTTCTTCCACTATAAAGGGGTCAAAACGGATCTTGTCGACACTCTCATCCAAGCAGTACGTCTCGTAAATCTTATTCAGTTCCTCGTGGAGCATCATCTTCTCTGTGTCCGACAGCTCGGGGCACAAAATCCTGTCGTTGAATTCCTCTGTGAAAGTGAGAGAGTCACACACAGAACTGTGGATTTCCAATTTTTAGGAGCAGGAAGTCTGCCTGATAACATAATTGGCACAGAGAGGAAATTCTGAAATCGGGTGAGTTTTCGGCCATGGCAGATGGAGCACACAGATGAAATAATGTGTAACTTTGATCCACGTTTGAACTGGTAAAACTTACCAACCGCTAGACAGAACTGGAGCACGTGGACGGCGCCCTCTTGTTTCAGGAAGTTCATGAAACGAAAAAGAAGGTCTTGCTGCTCTCTGATCTCCTTTAGCTCCAGCTTCAGCACCTGATCAAAGAAAGTAGTTGGGAAAACAGACGCTCAAAACCTCAGTTCATCGTTGGCTCTGGGTTTGTGCAAAGCATTTACTACAATCAACTGTTGCTACTGCCAGTATGAAAGAAACAAGGAGAATCTGGTGCAGGTCTGAAAATGACTTTTTCCCACATGAATCTACATGCTGTTCAGCGTTAAAAGAACAAGAGTAATGCTTGTTGTTTTATCTTTGCTCTGCCCGTTGTCAAAGGGCAGCACTTACTGAGGCCTTTTTGTTGCGAGTATCTGCGTACTTCTGGAGAAACGGAACCAATGCTGAAATGGGCTCTGTGGCTTCCTCAGGCTGGTGAGGCAGAAATAATCTTTTAATTAAAATATTTCGTCAGCAAATTATGCGATTAGACACAAAGATCTCTAATAGTCCACAACTCTGGCCATACTTACAGGGGAATTGTCTATGAATATCAAAATTAAATGATTCACTGTATCCTGGAATGCCAAAAAAAAAAAGCAGACAGTTAGTGCCAAATTTGTGATGGACAAACTACAAATCTGTTCAAACCTGCTCTTAGGCTGAAGTACAGAATCAACAGAAGGTTTCATGTGACAGCACCTTTGAATTTCTACCCTTATCATTGTCTACACTCACAGGATCAGCCAAGTAGTCCATTGAAGGAAGGAAGACAGAACCAGCCAAGACTTCTCTTATCAGGAGAGTAAGAGATCTGAGAGGAGTGAAGATATAAGGCAGCAGGAAATGAGAAAAATAAAGGAGTAAAGCCTGATCCTTCTATCCTTTTGTCTAATGTCAGCAATGCCAGACTTTCCCCTGGTGGGACAATACTATGCATTCATGTTGAAACTTAACATGCGATGACTCGGCCGGTTTGTACTGGTGCTGTGAGTCACCTGCAGTCCGTAGCCTTGGGCGGTAAGATGTAGGGGAAGAGCACCTCAGTCAGCTTTCTGAGGTAGAGGAGCTCATCTCTGCGACTCCGAAGGGCCACGTGGAGATCAGGTCCGTACTCCTCCAGGGCAGCTTGTTGAAGGTACTCTGCGTTTTTTACTTAAAAAGCAGCAGCAGGAAGTAAATCAGTCTTCGATCAGGTGAAAATAAAAACAACTCGAAGCCAAAGTGGCTCAGCGATACCTTTTTGCCTTGCTTTGCTAATGATCTCAATGTGTTTCATGGAAACTTTAAGCAGCTTTCGTGTGATGAGTGAAGCCACGTCCACCTGAGAAAGAGCAGAAGAAAAAGAAGAGATTAACAAATAATAAGTGGAGGAGTACCCCGTGGTTTTACTGTCAGAGCCAGGCGGTCACCTTTTGGATCCGGCGAACCAACACAGCCGCAAAGAACCGTAGTGTCACCCTAAGCTCGTCGACAAATGCTTCATCGTCTGTGATGCCTCTGAAAGACAAAGCCCGTATCTGTACTTCAGACATTCCAAAATACGCATTAAATCTGATCCAGCATCACAAAAGGCAGCTTACCTATACCAAGGATACACAAAATTCTCCAGAACAAGTTCCAGAATCTTTTACAGAAAAAAAGGAGATGTTATTTAAAAAAATTTTTTTGTTACATGAAGGGGATTAGCTTGTTTGCATTTTTCATTAAATGAGCATGTATTACTTCTGAGAGAGAAACATCCACTTTAGAGGGAACTTTAAGGTCCAGCCATGGTTGATAGTTTTCCAGTAACAAAGTTGGTCTGGAAAAAAAAAAAAAATGCATTTGAATCATGTCTGACCACTAAGAGGCAGTATAGCATATTTCATTAACTTGATAAATGCCTTTTAGGAGCATTCTTGAAATGTTTTCCTATTTTACGTAGCTATCTTGTTTGCCTCCACATCAATACGCTCTATCTGAGGCCTGTGTGGGTTCATCTGGTCAGCAGCTAACAGACCACTCACCTGTGCCTTTTGCATTTGATTTTTCCACACACAGTACAGCTGTGACCCAGTGGAAATAGCTCCTGCTGGAAGGACTGCCAGAGAAATAAGCAACTCAGATTAACTTGAAGAATCAACACACTGGAGAGGCCGAAGTAATTTAATACTGTGTCCTATCTGTGGTGTATATGTCCATTAGCCAGATGTCTAACACTCAGTCAGGTCAGTGTGGCTCCAATATTCTGTGTCGCTGTTAGGCCAGAGTATATTTCTGACTTACCTTTGTGTTTGGTTTAATAGAGACGAAGACGTTGGGCAGTAGAGAATCAGGCCCCAAAGAGCAGTAGAAGGTCACCACTCCAGCCAGGAAGGACCAAAACACCATGATGATGTGAATATATCTAACAAGGAGAAATGACACACGGTCCCAATTAACTGACTAAATTACCCACAGGAGAGGGAAGACGCTGTGGTGTCAGGGAGGTCATCCACTGACCTGTTTAAAAGCAGAGTGGTCAGCAGTAGGAGCAGCAGCAGAAAGCAGAAGACCGGGTATTGCCGGCCCAGCTCCCGGACCCGGTCCAGCTTCACCTTTCCTCTTGCTCTCTGCAGAAAGGCCCTGATGCAACCCATTCTCGGCTGCAAAACATGAACCTACTCCGTGTCACTGTAAAATAGAAAAAAACACATCCGAGGCTGCCATTTCAAACTGAGGGGCGAGAATCAACACAAACTCAGGCAGAATGTGTGCGTAAATCCAACCCCCAGCAGCTTACGTTGGCTTTATTCGGAAATGGGGAAGTCCTGGCACTTACTGTAAATGTGTGGCGAATGTTTTGGATCGTTTTTCACTGTTGTCCACCAGCGACACCATTATGTATTAGCAGAAAAAGCGGTCCGCAGAATGCCTGATGGCTGTTATTAGGGGATCGGCGGCGGACAGACGAGGCGCTCCTTCCAGCTGTTGGGATTAGATATAATCCTTTCGGCATCGCTTGGACAGGAAACTGTCCCAAGACCCGGGACGGGTCGCTATTTGCCTAATGGCCGCGGTGCTCTCACTGTCATCTGCGGGCATCCATGGAGGGGCAGCAGCCTGCTTGTCAACAGCGGAGAGGCGTGATGTCACCTCCGCCCGCTGCTGCAGTCCAGCCTCCCACCGAAACCATTGGAATAATCATTAGATTAAAAAAAAAAAAAAAAGAAAAAATCAAAAAACCAAAAGGAGGGTGAAGCGGCGCCCATTGGTTAGTTTCCACACAAAGAAAGCCCTAAGTCTAAAAACCATGCCGTTCAAAGGCAGAATCATCTCCATTTTCAACAGAAAATGTTGTAGTCACTATGCCTGGATGATATGGATTTTTTTTTTTAATGTAGAAATAACGGTGATAATAATTAACATAAATGTAAACAATTTAATTATTTTTTTCTTTTTGCTTTTATAGACGCATTTGAGAAACAAATATTACCATCCTTAATTATAGAATTATAGAATCATAAACAAGTGAAGAGCATGATGCAGGGGCCTCGTCTGGCTGTGACTTCAGGATGTAACTTTTTTACATCTCTCACCTCTCCTCCTGCTCCTTTACCAGATGCAAACCTCAAATAATCTGCTTGTTTGTCTTTTCTATACATCCCATTGCACAAACTCTTTGTAATTAATTAATTTAATATCATAGATCATATTTCCTTCAGCTTGTTTCTTAAACCTATTAAATATTGTTACCCTCTTCCAGTCTTCATGTTTTGTTTGTCCTTGCTCCAAATTTGAGTGGGAACAGCCAGCATCCTCTGCCACCTTAAGTCACATTCCCATAGATTCCACTGACTGGACTGACCTATGACATCTACACGTTATGCTGTCAAAATGTTCAACTGTTTAATTTTTTTTAAATAAATTAAATTAGAACGCATCAACATATTGAGAAACATCTGACAGCAATTACATGTGGGATAAGAGGGAACTTTTTACACATTGACAAGCTTTCATTGTTTGACAGTCAGATCCTTCATGTTTACTGTTGTAATGAAGTTAAAATGTCTCACTGCACATTTTCAGGGTATTTGCCTGTGTGCAATTATATTACAGGATCTTTTGAACTGTGCTGTGAATTTGTGACTGACATTCTAATTTGCACCTACCTCAAGCAGTGCACAGATGACATACTAGAGAATGGACACTTTGCTCTTCTACCGCATTCACCATCCACCATTAACTTCACTACTCATGATCGTTTTAACCAAAGAGTAAGACACAGATAGAAATCAAAAACTTTATTACAAAAATAAGTTACACTCACCTCCATTTTACAGTATAAAACAATTTATTTGCAGGAATGCAAAAATGTTGTTGGCCACCAACAATAGTTTAAAACTGCTAACATCTTTTTTTTCTTCAAAAGGTGGTTGTTATGTTTTTTTTTGTTGAGGGAGTTAACTGTATAGAAAACTGGGACTGAAGAGCAGTTTCCTTGATGCTATACCTGGAAATTGAAATCATTCACTGCAGTATCCCTTCTACCACTATGGGACTATGATCCCTCACCAAATCTTAGCAGCTAACGTTAGGCACACGTCCTCACTGACTGGAAAAATATGGCAATTCAGTCATCCATCAAGGTCTACTTCAAAGATCTTCTACATAGTTGCTGGCTTGGGAGCTGGGAAGGGATCATTAAAGATTAACATGATTTTACAAGATGAAGGATTAGATTCAGTTCCTTGACATTATTCTGACAATGCTTGAAAATAAGTTGTATGAATATAAAAACAAACCCACTGAATAATACAGTGGCACAAAAGGGACACTGCAGGGCTTTTTATTATTTTTTTTTATTTTTTAAATCAAAGGCAGTTGGATGCCTGTGATGTTTGAAGCCTTTACAAAACGTAACATTTTCCGAAAAACTATACAACCAGTAACTACATACTCTGAAGAAGCAAGGCGGCTAATTCAGTTCAAAATAGGATAAAAGCAGGGCTTGTTCAGACTCATCATATGAGATTGTTTTGCATGCCCAGCTTGACTGTTTGCAGTCTGCAGAGCTGCAGCTAAAAGAACTATATTACATTAAGTACATCGTTTTTGCGCTGCAGCTCTTGTGCATATTTTGTATAAAAACAAGCCCTGCTTTCATCAATATAGTTTCCCTATTTACAGTACAGGCCGGGTAGTTTAGTCCTCTGTACTGAGGTAGTCAACCAACCCTTTAAAAGACAAGTTCTGAAAAGAACCACTTTCCTGGAATGCCTGACTTATCCATGCCAGGTGGGTACACCCTAAAATCCTGCAAATGTTCTATTTCAAAACATCCAGATCAAACAATTAAGAATAACATGGATATTCCGACAATAAAAATTGCGATTAGCACAAAAATATACAATAGCATCAAGCTCCTTTGAGCCACTTCAAACCTAAAAACTTAAAAAGTGCAATTTCTTCAATAATTATTAAAACAAATGGCATGTTCAGGGACAGGGCAGGGGCAGATTGTAAGGGCAATTCATAGAGCCCTGTAAATCGGGGCTACATACAGAGCAAAGAGCAGTGTGGTGAGCGTACTTTGAATCCTCAGGTAAAATTTTTTAAGGTGGCAGCTTGAGGAGGGAAAACATTTTTTTTTTAAAAATAAAAACAAAACAAAAAACAACAGGGAGGGTAAATGCTTCTTTTGCAAGGCTGGAATATCGTTGGACCTTTTTTCGTCTTGTTTCAACATCCATCGCAGCTTACGGTGTAACCCCACTCATCAAGTCAGTCTCCTTGGTAACAGGTCAGGACCGCCCTCGGCCCCGTTTCCCTGCTGGGCCAGAAAGAAAGGACAAGAAATAAGAAAAATTACATTGAAACCAGTGCACTACAACTAAGAGTCTCAGCTGGCAACTCTAAAAATGTATCATGTTTCAAATGACCTTTGTCTGCTGGCAGACAGGCGGACTAGCTGCTCTGAAAGACGACACTATTAACCCAGCCAGTAAGCAAAACTTTTTAAATCCCACATCATTTCGACAAAATAGTTGCAGCTCTTCGGGTATTAGTTTTCCTGACCATAGCATTTAAAACTTTAAGTCTCCAGCATCCATGTTTGGAAACATTCAGTCCAAAGACAATAATGCTATTAGTCAACAAATTAAAGACCAAGGAAACACTGAACTGGATTTAATTTAAATTCCATTTTGTGCCAAGTGATTTACCTCTGATTGTTCCAAGGCCCCCTCGCTGGGTAAAACCCCCCCGGCCCCTTGGTGTAACAACACCACGGCCCCTGGTCTGACTGGCACCTCCGCGGACTCCTCCCCTTGCTCCTCGTCCTCGTGCAGACCCCTGGAAGTCCTCATATCCATAGTACGGGTCATCATAACCACCCCGGTAGTTGTGGTAATCATATCCATAGTAATCGTAATAGTCTTCATAGCCGTAATAATCGTGAGGGTAAGAATAGCCTCCACGCCCACCTCTTCCTCGGCCTCTTGTTGGTGGTGGCATGTGGGGAGGCCCATAGTAATAATATTCGTCATACCTGAGTGTAGAAGCAGCCTATCAGCATGGCATCAGATGTCAAAGCCTCTGTATATTTTTGTGAATAACACTGTTCTCACTTACATTTGGGTCTTGGCAGCTTGTCTCTGGGCTTTGCGCTCTTTCCTCTTCTGGTCAGGGGGCTTGGCAAAGACGATTTCAATGTTCTCTCCTTCGAGGTCTTTACCATTGAGATCAGCTAAAGCCTGTGAAATCAATCAAGTGAACATTCACATGTGTTCTCACTGCAACAAAAAAGATTAAAGTTTTCAGTCACTGTATATGTTCTGCCCCATCTATCTGTCCAGTCAGAAAGTCCTCTGTACCTTCACTGCTCCGTCTCTTTCCTCAAAGTGGATGAAGGCATAGTCTTTCAGTTTTTTCACCCTCTCCAGCTTGCCAAACTGACTAAAGGCCTTTTCAAGTATCTCCTCTGTGACAGTGCTCGCCAGGTTCCTCACAAAAAGCACCTTGACCTGGACAAAGATAAATGTTTACATTGTTTGTCCTCCCAAAAGGCAACAACATGCATTACATACATCCATTGTATGTAATGCATCCATATTACACCTCTCAGGCCATGTTCCTTACCTTCGCCATGACTTCTGGATCTGGGTCCTCAATAGGATCAGCCCACTCCACTGTGACCACGTTCCCCCACACCTTCACCTTTCCACTCATCAGTCGGCGCCGGGCCTGTGCTGCCGTCTTGTGATCTTCATACTCTAGGAAGCAAAAGCCTCTATTCTTCTTCTTGTCATCAGGCTGGTGGTACAATATGACATCATTGAGTCCCTCTGCAGAGACAAACAGGGTAGGGGGCAGAGAAAGAGCACAGAACAAGTTAGTGACCTTTCTATGTAAAGCTTAGTTACATTACTTAACTACCAGCTTTAAAAAGTCACAAAATGATGTGACTGAGGTTTTTATAGTTTATTCAGAACATTAACTTCAATGGTTCAGCTGAAACTCAGTCAAACACCAAACTGAGAATGTAACATGATAAAAAAAAACATTTATAACATCTGACAACACCTAAGACAACAAAAAAGACAAAAATTAACAATAAATAAAAATTTAAAAAAGGAAATTCAAGTATCAATTCACCTGTAACTTTTGCAAATTCTTCAACAATCTGCTCTTTTGTTTTACTCTTGGGGATGGAGCCAACAAAGAGTCTATTATTGGCCACAGAGATGCATACGCCAATGTGTTTACCCGGTCGGATTTCACTGTTGTTGCACTGCGGACATAAAGAAGATGGTCGAAGTTTAAAAAAAGGAAAAGAAAAAAATATTGCTGGTCACTTTTCCACATATGAGCATAATGCATGATAAATAGCAACTGTTTAAATTTCCAACCCAGTTTTGACAAACCGAACGTGCGTTAAACGTACCAGTTTTACAGCCTTCTGCGCAGCATCTTTAGTGCAGAAAGTGACAAAGGCATAACCCCTGTTGAGGCCGCTGAGAGGATCCATCATCAGACGCAGGTCCCAGATGGGGCCAGCTTTCTCAAACAGTGGGACCAGCTCATCCTCAAAAAGGTCTCTTGGGATTTTTCCTACAAATATCTGAGAGGTTTGTAGAAAAGAGGAAAATGGAAAACAACTTTTTCAATTAAAAAAAGCTAAGAAAGGCAGAAAACACGTTGCATTACTGAAAGGTGTCCCTTCAGATCTTAGCGGTAGGCTATCACTGTAACCGTGGTTACTACAGAAGAAAAAAAAAGCTTCATCATTTGGACACCACTTCTAATGCAGTTCACAGGAACTCAAATGGAGTAAATAAAAGATGCATTTTCCAGCTTCATAAACAAGCAAAGATAACAGTGAAAGGTGTTGTACCTCTGTACCAATGGTGGGTTGTGGCCCTGAATGGGCAGACTCTGGAGGAGGACCACCATACTTCCTCTGTCCTGTGGTCACATCAAGTGTGTAGCCAGTCCTCTCCAGCAAAGCCTACAAAAAAAAGGAATAGACTTATGTTAAGTTTTTATCTAAAAAAATATTGATCCTTCATTTCCACAGGTTGTCTTACAGAAAGACTAATTCCAAAGAGACCCCTATTTCATTCAAAAACTTTAACAAATCAGTTATAAAACGTGCTCCAACGTGGAGCCTGATGTTTGCAAAAAGATGCAATTTAAGCACACTGAATGCATTCATTCTCACTTTGATTTTGGCTTCATCTGGTCCTTTATTGGTGTCTGACACTTTGGTCCCTTGTTTCTCTCTCTGTCGGTACGTCTTCATCACGCCACAAAGAAAGGCACTTTTATTCTGCGAGAAAAACACAAATGAATAAGTCCAATAAAAAATTAATCAAAGAAACAACCTCTCATATGGGTAGATACACAGCCATTTCTTGTCTCAAATATCAATGAGCTCAGTCACAAGTGTTTGAGTTCAAATACCTTTCACACACGATGTTATCCCAGAAAAAACAGGCCATATTTTACTTGGATAAAAATCATTATTAAAAAAATGACCAAAGGCTGTGAGAACCATACCTGAACATGTGAGAGGTCGCTGTCCTTGAATTGCAAAAGGACTTGGAGAGCACCTTCCTCGTTGAATTCTTTCAGAGCCTCAATCGCTCGGTCATCTAAGTCACTGTGTGACACCAAACCTGGAGGTTGGACAACAAAGAAATCAGCTACTAACGAGAAAGCCTTAAAAAGGCCTCAGTACTTGTGCTTTTAATAAAAGGGTGAAGACAGACATGCAAATATTTAACCCTTATTGTATTTTATATTTCTAGATTAATTGTGAGTAAATCATAACAACAATGAGAAGAGAGGGACGGTCCTAGATAAAGCCAATTCTGATTAATTCAGTAGTCAGGCTGAATTTTACTCTCCAACCAACATGCATTAGACTATAATCACAACAGATGTGACAGTGAAACTTGATATGGCGGTACCCCTCTGTGCTGTGGTTGGGAGTTCCTAATGAGCCAGTCTACATTCTCTTCTATGGAGGGACCGTCACCTGTCCGAGGCAGCCACGCACCGGATCAGCTGCTGTCATTGTTTCTGTTTCAGCCCAATCAGGCTGAAAAGGCCAGACCAGTACTTTTCTGGGTGTGACCAAACAAAAAAGGTCCTAAAATCTTCTCAAAACCTTTCTATAAAAGCTGCCCAAAGCAACAGTTTAATTCTTATTCAAGATCACACATGACATGATACCAACTCATCACTCTGCACTTAAAGTGGACGCAGAGAAACTTCCTGGGACTAAATGGCAAGCCCTGAGAGGTTCTTCAGAAAACTCCCAGAGAGACTATTCATTCACCATGACACCAGTGATCATGCAACCATGTTGGGAATGCAAATGCTATGATTGTTTACACATTTTTTTGGTCACATTGGTAATGTGCAATTAAATTTTTTGAAGCACTGCAGTACCCATTTTGGTAGAAAACCACAAAAAGTTGCTTCAGGATCCCAATTCCCCCATTCAAAAAGGTGATAAAAGTGACAGTACATGCAAGACTTGATACACATAAAAATTGCATATTGAATATGCAAGTATATTCATAATTCCTTACCTGCTATGTAAATTTCATCTAGTTTTTCAGCAACTTTCTGTGGTAAACCAGCTTCTAATAAAGTCTGGAAGTGCTCAGAATGGGTAACTGCAGCAGAGGTGTCCATTGGTTCTTCTGGACCATTTCCATTAATATGTTCTGTGGCCATGTCTCCAGAAATCTGTATAAATGCAATGAGCCAAATTAATCCTGAGTCAAGGGCAATACTTTGGATGTTTTCAAGAGAATGTGAAGCTTCAAGCTAATCAGTACAATCATTTTGAAAATAAATAAAAATGGTCTGACCATTTATGATGTGAAATGTGATGTAGTTTGTGTGCTATTGAGCCCAAATTAACAAACAGGAGACTCCGACATGCAAAAGAAGTTTTTGGGCCGCTGTCAGGAAAACTTTCGCCATATTGACTTAAAACTTACAACCTTTGGGCTACATACAGTAGAGAGCCTCAAACTGATTATAGACACTCATCAAAAGTCACACTGAGCAGAAGAGAGACCAGGCACATTCCAAATTTTCACAGACACTAATTAAGCTTCATATGGTAAAACCAGTGAAATTGCAAGGTTTAAGACGTTTGGGCTCACAGAGCCAACTTATTTTCCTTTATGTCACTGTTCTGTAGAAGCCGTGACTTCTATTTTCACTAAATTACATGTTAGCTTACCTTCTAACTGCCGGCCTCAGCCGTGTCTAGAGGGGTGATATACGTTTTCATCAGATACTGAGCCCCCGGCTTCCTGTGACTGACCATTTTGACAAATGGCACTATGGCATCACAGATTTACCACCTAAAATACACCCAAACGCAACGTGCTAACGGCCAAGTCCAACGCCACCTCCTGAATGTTCAAAAAGAAAGTTCTGCAGACCGGCAATGGAAGTCTTCAGTGTTCGCGTAACTATTGGGCAATGTAAGACTCAGCTAAAAGTATAGGTCAATCATCTGGTTTGGCCTAACTATTTGCTAATATTAGCTCAACGATATCATGCGTCCAATATCTTCAAATGTCTGCTGATCGATACCGTAAGCACGTGCTTTCTGTGGTTAAACATTACTACTTAATCAAAGTGACTTCTGAGTCTGTCAGAATCATTGCTAAACATTTTAACGTTTACAAACGACTGTAAAACGATCGATCTCCCCTGTCTCGGATCTGTTATGACAATGTTAAAATTTGCGGAGGAACTGACTTGCACACGTTGAGGCTAGCTTAGCTAGCGGGCTAGTTTGCACAGCTAAGGTCTCAACAATCCAGCTAACTATGGACATTTATCGTGACAATAACCCGAGGCTCCGGGGTGCAATTTATATGAACACGCCAGAGATAAATATTCTAATAGGCAGGGAGTGTGTACATCATTACGGTAGCCAAAACCAAGTCCCTACTCTTACTAATATAACTGCCTTTTGTCTTTGGGTTCAACTAGCATGCAATGACAATGAGGATGTCAGTTTCATGATCTGTCAAAATGGGCTAGCTGAAGCTAGCATGCTAATTCGACCGGAATATCAGTGAGGCCATTGTTAGTCATTTGTCGGTATAGACTTAACCATCTGACAAAGAATCCCTGTCAAATTCAGTCGGATTACACGAGGCCTTGAAAGCTAACGTTTTAGCCTCCTGGATACGCGATTAGTCAACGTGCCGCCACATAGGAAGAGTCCATTTTCAAAAAGCCGGTCTGGACAACTCGTTCCCAACAACCACCAGTTTCCACATTGTTTGAGACAGCACCACACGACTCATGAGTTTTTAGCATTCAATTAGGCAACATTCACGAGACCAAATAGAAGCATTCGCCCTACCTGCCGCTGGCACACCAAAGTGTATGGTGTTGATTATATAGGAAGATAAATGTGATAATTAAAAGACAGAAAAAGTGTAAAACTCCCGGCACAGGTCCGGCTTCAGTCATTCACTCTTGATGATGTAAAATGGCTGCCACGTTCACGCCTCGAGTTTTGTCTCGTCGATGGGGTTTCTTGGACAGCCCTGCACGGGCTTGCCTTGTATGCATTTTAGAGTAGAGCAGCAGGTCATCCGCAGCATCCATCATATTTACTACCGATGATAATGACACGACGACTAAACCTTTCTGTTGGCAACAGGAATATCTCAAAACAACTAAAAGCGCGCTTATCAAAAGTAACCCATGAGGCTTCGCTAGAATTGGAAAGATTAATGAAAACTAAACAAAGATTGGTAGAGTCTAACAAAGAAATCAAATTCTATTAATAATTTAGGAGTAATCTCCCACTATCTACAGAGGGATCTGAAAAATAGGCACAGAACAATTAAATGGACGAATAGTATGACTCGTAGTTAAATATTAATACAAAAACAAAAACGAAAAAACATCAAATTACCCATTTTTAATAATAAATTGAAAAATTACACGGATAAAATGTTTAAAAAAAATACAATTGTAATTTGTTGTCACCTCAAACCAGTTCAGACAAGCAAGTTTTGTGAATTGTTAATTCATCATGAAGTTAATCTGTATGAGTGTGTATGGTTGTCTGTGCAGAATAGGCAATGTGTTCAGTGTATCCAACCTCTCACCCTTCAGCAAATCTCAGCAATCTCATCCCTCTAATACCCTGAAATGGATCAGTCAGATAGTTTATTTTAAAACAAATGTATTATTAAATTGGATGGAAATTGATAAATAAAAAATCACACAGAAGGAAAAATTACTTAAGACACATAATCCAATTTGGTAAAAAAAAAAAGACTTGTTTGGTTGTTTTGTATTTTTTCTTCACTCTCTTTGTATCTTTCTGTCATGGCTTTGATATATAGAACGCTATTTACTAGTATACTGGCTGTTGCTCATTAATTTGAATTGTCCTTCAATTTCTAACACTATAGTATTTTAGAAACAGTTTAAATATCCTAAAAATAAATTTAGTTGATATATTATACCAAAATAAATTACTATTAAATCTTAAGTTTTTAAATCAGATTTGGAACCATATTTTATTAGTACATTAGTTGTACTAGTATGATACCATACATTGTTTGAATTGATGTTGTAAGGTAGGTCTCACTTTCCACCACACTGTGTCACTCCTGTCACACTGCTGAGCTCATCTCCTTCATTTGAAAAAATAAGTTTGAAGTATGTATATTTGTATCACAAGATTTATATTCAAATCTAAATAGTTGAAAATAGTCCATGCTGAAAAGTTAATTTTGCGCAGTAACAGCACAACAAAAGATAAATTCTTGGAATTTCAACCCTTTAAACAGAGGTGGGTGTGTATTACAATGGTCTGAGAAGAGTCAGGGCTGCCCATAATCTTCTTGATTCGTCTTTACATCATCATCTCCAGAGGTTCCACAGTCATTTTGAATTGAATCAAACCAAGCGTCTAAATTGCCTTTGATTTGGCTTTTGAATGACTTTACAAAATCTCAGTCCTTATTCAGTATTCCTCTTTGTATTGTTCTTTGCATATCAGAGGATTTGTGTGTACAACTACATGCATTATATCTCTTTTTACCAGGGTTCTCACTTCAGGTTGAAATGAATGGCAGAAAATATTTGTTGTTAGTCTCACAAATATCAGCCTAATTTAAGCTTTTATCATTTTTGTAAATAGGTAACACTGCCGATCCTTGATCAATCTTATACGCAGAAAAATAAGCAGATGACTCCATCTTAACCCTATGCAAACACCAGTGTAAAAGCAGATAAGAGGTTTAAAAAAAGCTGGACAATAAGCAAGTATGGATGTATAATGAGGTCTTATGACCACATAAACAAATCTTTATTGTTCCTCTAGTCTCAGCTTTATTAAGCCTTTGGAAGACACTAAAAGCTTATGCAGGCCAAAGGAATTGTATCCAGCTACTTGTTTAACACGATCTTATTAAACCGATACTTACAGCACATGCTTTTTACTGGCATAGAAATGTTCAGTAGGGCCAGACACCCACCTTCCTGGAGACCGGATTGGGTATTCTCGATCATTTTGAAAAATGAAATTATACAAGTGGCTGAAATTAGCTTCCTCCAGGGGGTGACTGTGCTCACCCTTCCAAGTTATTGAGTATCACTCAATAAAGGATACACCCCGCCACTGTTATGCAAGTATGTAGGCTACACGGTTTGATTATGTTGCTTCTCAGTGAGGATAAACTAAACAGCACTTTGTTTTATGAATCAGAACCCTCTGATTCAGGTCAGTGAGAGCATTGGGAAACAAAATCTGCAGTCATGCTAAGCCCCTGTGCATTCAGACCAGACATTTGTTTTTCATAAACTTTCAATGAACTGTAACATACAACATTCTTCCTCTCAGGTATAATTTTTTTTATCTTCCACCTCTCATCACAGCTCTGGTATATTTGAATTGATATCATTCAGTCAGTGCACTAATTAGCTTATCAGTCTACTAAATAATAATTTCATACAGTTCTTTTAGACATTGATGCATTTAGCATTGAAAGAATGGCAGATATTATTTTAAGCATTGCAATTACACACTGATTTAGAATATTTTAGGGAATAATAATAAATAAAAAGCGTTAACAAACAGATGTTATATGCAACCAAAGTTGCAACCAAATTTGACTAAAAAATGTCTGGAGTCATAGAATAATACAGAGACATCAGTACTATGAGCACTAGTAACAGTTAGAATGCATTTGTAACAAAAGGTTTAACATAAATCCAACAGCAGCCTCTTAACATGTCGCCATCATGTGATTCATCATCTTTTGCACCGCGCTTCGCCCACAAGTCGTAGGCTGAGGATTTATCCCCTATACAACCAAGGACAAAGACTGGGCACTTCAGACAAGATACTAATTAATCAAAAGTAAATTCATATCCATACTTGACATTTTAGATGCTGAATGTGAACAGATGGAAACTCCTTGCCAGCGATCAAATATCTATTGAGTCATTCATAACTTACTCCATCCAGTTGTTCCTGGGTTTGAAATAAATAAAGACTGAAACCAGGAAATAAATTAATCCCTTTTTTGACAAAGAATGATTCAGATAGTACATTAACACTACCGGATGAGAGACTGGTGCTACAAATAATGAACAACTAGTCAGAAAAATGATCAACTTACGAGTAGGAAAATTCCCTGGAAGTAGGATTTTATGTGTATCCACAACAAAGTATCGTTGACGTCTACAGTGTGTTCCTTTATCTGATGATGAATAAATTCAATAAAACCAGACTTTTAAAGTATATGTGAACATGGTAGATGTACTGAAATTGTACAAAGTCAAACTTCTTGAAACCAGATGAATATGCCGACATTAAAAGTGGTTGAGTCGTGAACCTTTCATGTCTAGTTTTCAAAAGAAGAAGAGGAAGAAACGAGTGACAAAAAACTCTCAACACAGGAAATAGAGTGCATCTGTTAGTATGAACACTGTGATCTAACTGCATATTATTTTCGGTGTGTTTGTTCAATTTCTTTTGTCTGAAGGCCAAACCCTGATTTTATAACCACATCATCCTCTTTCAAAATCCTGATTCAAATAACTTTAAGAGATCTTTACATTGATTTTGGCTATATTTAAAGTACAGTGATATCTTACAGAAAAGGTTACAAGTGCAAACAGCCCTTAAACCTTTCTTCACGCAGCCCCCATGGCTGTAATATACTTTATATATGACAGTACAGTGAATTGGACTTTAATTGAACTGTGCACGTAAATGTGCGAAGCTTTCAAATAATCCATATTTTTGATGAGGGTGAAAGCTGAGGAAAACTTGGGTCAGAAATGACCAGCTCTTCTCATAAGTCAAGCCAGTTAAAGTAATGAAAAGTTAAGGCCTTCTTTAGTCCGCTACTGTGAAAAAGAGGAAAACTCAGGAGGAAAAGCCACCTCGAATTCAAGTTTAAAGTTTTCTTGTGGAAAAAAACAACACATTTTGTTTTACATTTCTTTATTATTTGTATAAAATGTGTCAATCTAAAAACCCTGAACACTAGCTAAATTAACACTTTGTTACAGCTTGTACAAATAGTCCCTCTGCAGTTAACCAAATGCTGAGGAAAATCCCTGATTCATTTCCATCACATTTGCTGTGACCTGACATATGATAACAACCTTCAGTTACTAAGAGACAGAAATCTGGGGATTAAATGTGATGTCCATATTCAGGATGGTTTAAGTATATTTTGAATTTCCATGATTTGTTCCAGTCATTTTGGGCTTTAAAGGGATCAAGGGATGGGGTAAGAAACGAGTGCATCACTCAGATAATTGATAAGGTAGGCAGGTTTCACATAATCCAGGATGTTGCCGGGCACACTGGTATAAATTTAGTTGAAGCAGCTCTCCTCACTATAAAGCAGTCCTCTCAGGAAGTATATTTATGAAGAAACATTCTTGCAACACGGTAACAGTTTGCTTCCTTGATTTACAGTTATTCTTTTTGAAGTTTTGGACTGACCATTTCCCTTTGTTACCATATAATTAGGTGTCTGCTACAACCAAGATGGGCTCAGTGAAATCAGCAGGAGTGTCTCTTCTTCTGTTGTCTTTTATTCTTAACATAGTCAATTCTTACCCCAACATTGACTCCTCAGACAGTAAGAAATGTCTATTTTTACAAATATTACATTTGCTATTGAACTGAATGTGTGTCAGGATGGCAAAAAAAACATGTTACAAATACCTTTAACCAAAAGAAAGTCGTAAACAAACCAAAGACATTGCTAAAGAAAATAGCATCTTCGTCTTGTACGCTGTTCCATTCATAGAGATTGTCAATGAAATATGACTTGAGAAATTGTGGTTAACAAGTTTTGATTCTGCCTTTTATAACACCTTCTCTAGTGGGCTGTGAGGAATGCAAACTGAGAAAGAACAGTTTTTTTTCAAGGGACCGTCCAATTTACCAGTGTATGGGCTGCTGCTTCTCCAGAGCATACCCAACACCTCTCAGGACCATGAAGACGATGATGATCCCAAAGAACATCACTTCAGAGGCCACATGCTGTGTTGCAAAGCACAGTTATGAGGTAAAGGTGCTGTTAAAAAGTTATATAAAAAGTATTTAACTCTTATTTTTCTACTGCCGTTTACACATATATTTGAAATTAACTTAGGACAAAGACGTATCAACTAAAATAACTACCATAAAATGGATATTTTTACTCACCCTTACACTTCTGTTTATAATGGATTTTGTGTGTCTCTTGTATTACAGTCAAAAAGTTAACAGATATTTTTCTCTACCTACACTTCATCTCCTCTTTCAGATAAAAATAAATGAGATAACAATGAGAAACCATACAGACTGCCACTGCAGCACCTGCTATTATCATAAGATATGACAGCTGGAGACTTGAGACCCTCTACCGCTCTCAGCTTGCCAACACAATGTTTTTCATTCAAGATACAGATGCTCTTCTATGTTTGTGAAAATATGTATTGTGTTGTGATTCTGTTTTTGTGATGTGCAATAATCTTTTGTTTTGCATCGATACATGTATTTTACCCCCTGTGGAATTGAAATTAATAAAAGTTTGCACCGAAAGATTGTCATTTTAAATAATTTTTCCTATGATAACCATCTTTCTGACCATATGGTGGTTTTAAGGTACGTTGTATTTTTTTTTCTAATGTAAACAGAATAAGTTTAACATCTAAAAAGTTGCACGTTCAGAGAGATTTGTCTTCTTCTCTAGCGACTTTAAACTATTTTATTCAGCAACTGAGAACATTTCGGTGTTTAATTCTATTGAAAATACTTCAGATGAAGTCCAAGTGAATTTTCTCATTTTTAGAGTTAGTGTTTTTCAGATATGTTGTTAAACATAGGGCATTCAGCGGCAGCCTGTGGACAAGCTCTTAAATCCCTAATAGACTGTGAAAAATTATTCAATAAAACAAAACAATTTCCATCCATCTGTCTTTTCATTTCAAACATGTTAATTACTATTACTTAAATCATTTTTGGGACCAACACATGTAACCTGAGAATTGCTGAAAATGTCAAGCGGAAAAAATTGTTAAAGAATGTGTCTATAATGATGAAATATTAATTCTTCATTTAATCTACACTTGTATTACCTTTACTATAAATTCATCTTCCAGGTTTGAATTATCTCAACAGACACAGTAATGCAATTGTAATGTAGTTTAATACTTATACCCCTTTAAGTTTAAGCTTAAATAAGTCTAAATAAATGCTGCTTGTTGGGTTCATTTGCAAAAATACAGTAAATCTTTTCTTTTAGGGATGAAATAGAACTCATTGACCGCCTGTCCATGGTGAACATCTGCCCTGAAATGCTCAAGTAACTCTCAATCAGGGTTGTTGTTGAAGCTGATCAAGAGGAAGAAGAGAAATAAAACTGAAAAGACAAGGAGGATACACTTTTCAGCCCTGGAGTAAAAGGGGGCTGATTAACGATTCTGAGAGTGCCAGACGGATGTGTGATCACCTTGCAGTGTGTTTGGCTGCAAGAGTCCCTTCTTGGAGGTCATAGTTTACCTGCAGTATCTCATAATTATCACACGTATTCAGGGAAACCTTGGATGAACAGTCAAAAATGAGCTGAGGTTTAAACATTAGTCGGGCAGACTGTGTGCATTTGGTGATCATGTGTTGTTCATTTCTAATTTTTTTTTTTTTTACATCAGGGGAGTGTATGCGGAGCACACATTGTGCTCTCCCTTCCCCCCTGCGTGCGCGTGCGTGTGCAAGTCTGGCAGCGTAACATCTGTGCGTACGCGGTCGTGATTGTTGTGAAGATGGCGGAGGGAGAGACAGAGAAGGAATATGATACACGGAAAGCTATCGAGGAGCTCCGAGAGCGGTTCCAGGGTTTGACCACGGCTTTGAGAGAGAGTTCTCAGTCTTCGTTGGAAGCCTCCTTGCATTTCTGCCAGGAATTCTGCCAGGTTAGCCCCGTTATCCCGCTGCTCATCCCGGGCAGCCTGCAGCCCCTCTGGTTTCCTGGCCGAGGATGCGCGTCTACGTTTGCTATAACAATGTAGCTAAGGAGCTAGCAGCCTAGCTAGCTGCCTGGCATTCATGATGTGGAAAAAAACCTCCTCGGGAGTTTTCAGCCATTCGCTCTGTGATGTTCATCTTTGGCGTGTACCCATTTGCAAAGTCTGACTATTTGTGCGGCCTGAAGGCGCCATGTTGTCTGCCAAATGTGCAAGTATTACTCGTATTTTCCAGGCCAGATAGCTAATAGCAGATGAAGGTTGCTAGCTGGTATGCAGGGTCCCCCTGTCCTGTGCAGTGGTCATGCTGTGCAAAAAATGGATAGCTGCGTTAGCGAGATTTTCCACGGCGAATGCATTGATGTGCAATGAAATCTACACTGATATTTACTGTTAAAAATGTCCCACAAACGCTACAACGGCACATATCCATGCTTGATGAAATTGTAGCATGATGTAAAATTTGGTTACTTTAGCGAAGGTGTTTCATTGAACGGAAAGAGCAGTGATTTTTTTTTTCTTCAGGGAGCTAGCCCGGGCCTTTTGGACTAATTTAATGTCGCTAATCACACAGTTAACGTTTATAAATGCTATATAGACAACACCAGCACAATGTGTGGAAGTGATGGCAGGGTAAAACCAAGCGATTTGCCGGCGTCAAGCAGAGACTGTGATTTGAAGGGGAAAGTGTGTCAGTGGTCACTGACTCCATTACATCCTTCCTCATTAATTAGCCCCGGCCACGTAAAGAAATACAACAAAAAAACGAGGTTTCCATTTTTCTACTGTGCATCTCAGGTTATTGCACGAAGAGTTGACTCCAACTTTAAAGTTTTTTCGAGGGGTGAAAATGACACGTCTATGCTGAGCTTTCATGCATTTGACTACTTTGTTTCAAATGAGCACAAGCCATGACTTACCCTTACACAACTAATTCTTTATGTCTTTGGTTCTCTGCCATTAACATGAAAATATTGTCTTTTTCACCAGTAAGGTTGAATTTAGATAAAGTGACAGTGTCAGGATATTTTGTGTAAGTGTAATTACATCAATAGGTCCGCTTTGATAAAACATACAATAGAAAGAACATCCATTATAACACAGTATTAAGAAAACGTAGAAGGGTTGGGAATTAGTATTATTTGGACTATAGTTCCAATTCTTAGATCAGCTAAACTATTCTCTTTCAACAGCAAAGTGTAACTTTAAAAACTTGGTGATTTTAAATATCTACCTAAACATAAAAAGCAACGGCTGAATAATTTAGAGGTTTATAACTATAATGTAAGAATGGTCTGCATTTCTATTGGGTTTGTGACTTGAGTTTATTACTTGTTAAATTGAATTATTTACTATTATTTAACCCAAAATTACTCTGTAGTCAAAACTTTATATTGCATGGTAATTTGTAGAACTGGGATATCTTTCAGAATCACTGTCTAATCCCGGCATTGGTGTTTTCCTTTAGGTGCTTGTGGAACATGCTGGCCGTTGGAAAACTGATGAGGATCCTCTGCCTTTGCTGGAGGTTTACACTGTGGCCATTCTCAGTTTCGCTAAAGCTGCCTCCTGTCTCTCCTCCGAATGTGAAAATGTGCCACTCTTACTTGAAAAGTTAGCATTGTAAGTAAAAACTGTTAGAAAACATATGCCAAAGCCTGTTCCATTTTCCTTGCTTCTGTAGGTTACCATTTATTTTGTCACTGCTATCTTTTAATGAGTGTTATTTAATGATTGCATACATTTAAATTTATTTCATGAGAAAAATAAATACATTTTTTATTGAACACAACACAATGTTTTATCGTAGGTACAAAGCTATTTAACTGTAGACATATAATGCTTGTTTACGTAGTACAAAACGTCTATGAAAGCCACTCAGGTATTTCCCTTCATGCTCCTACAGGACAGCATCCTTCAGGTTGTAATGCATAGTGAATATATTATTGTCCCATTCTTGGGATACCCTTTGGCGGAAGCTGAGATTCTGATAGTTTTCGATGTGGATGTCTCTACTTCGGCCCTGTAACTTAGTTTATTTTCTATCGATCGTCTGGAATTTTCTTCATTGACTTTATAGCAGGATGCTCCTTGGATTTATTCTCGTATGGTTATTCCTATTTGGTCAAATGCATGCACATCCTTGACCTAAATTTGGATTTAACAAATGACTGTGTTGGATTCACAGGAGCTGTGCAGAGCTGCTGCTCTCGCTGCCCCAGCATGTCCCTGGTGCCTTATGGGAGGAGTTTCAGTCCTCCATGAAGGTCAGTATCTTTGCCATGATAAGTGATAAAAAGTTGTTAGAATGCATTTGGATTAGCTTTATAAGCAAGTCACATGGGTCAAATGTTAGTTATATTGCAGAAAATAAGTACTCAAACCTTGTGACCGAGTCACTTTTTTAAGCATACACTCCAGCAAAGATTTAGCATCTGAAGTTTTTCATATTTATTGGTGTTCTGCTGCAGTTGGCACACGGCCTTTTGCAAGAAACTGGGAGCACACAGCTCCGACTGCTCTTAGTTCTGGCACAGCAGGACGGCGTTTGGGCCAACACGACATTAAGCGGCATCCTCTCCAGTCAAATTTCTCAAACTGAGCAAGGTAAGAGCACACTTTTTATTTTTTTATATTTATTACAATTATTTGTCTGATATTCCTGTCATGACAGTTTCCCCCTGTTCTCCCTCTCCTTTTTCGTCAGTTCATGAGTATCTTGAATCAGAAGGTGCTACACTTCTCAACATGCGAATAAAGCACCTAATCAAAGTGGACAGTGTTGATAAAGCAGCTGTTCTGGCGAAGACGTGCTCGGAATATCCAGGATTTGAAGGAAAAGGAAACTTTAAACAGACTTACCTGCTTTGCATCTGCTTGACAAAAAGTCAGGAGCAGCTAATGGAAGAGGTAAGACATAGCTACTAGAGTTCACAGAATTCTTTATTAGAGATCATACAATGATACAATCTGCTCACTACGACTGGTTCACACTTACCTAAATGATGGTGTGATACTACGCCAGATTTTCAAATAACCCGTCACCTTTGCAAAATCTCATGTAAAAGACAGTTTTTCACTCTGCTAACTTTTCCTTACGTATGTATTCTGTTGCAAACTTACCACCCCATTTTGTCATTAACCTGTTTGGGGCTACTGAGAAGGTTTGTCTCTATGAAGAGGGAGAAACTCAGACACACCCTGTGTTTTTAGGCAAAGACTCTGGACACATACATGTATATTGAACAACATGTAAATAAAAATGGAGGATTTAGTTTCCACTACTACCTAATCAGCCCTACATAGCTCAATACACCTCGGTATGACTTGGTTTTGGTGTTTTTACATTTTTTTTATTACTACGGAGGTCCTAACATACAAATGGACTGATTTGCCAGTGACATAATGTGTATGTAGCAATGAAGGAAATAGCAGCAATGATACACTGAATAACCTCAGTATCAGTTATTACAGAAGGCGTTTACAATGTAGATGATCACAGAAACGTGAAATCGCAAATTTCTTTGTCGCTGCGTTTTGAAATTGGGCGGGGTTCACGTGAAGCAGTGGCTGTAACTCTCTGGCCGTGCAGCAGGCAGTCTGCCACTGGGGGGGTTTAGCCCTGATGAAACCCGGGCTGAATAAGTGCTAAAGCAGTACCTGTTCAGTAGGGCCATCCTTCAGTAGAAATGCAAAAAAAGAAAAAAAACTACTAGAGATGTGGTGTATATATCTATTTGGTAGAAGTGGAAAATGGAATTTCCAATTTCCCATCTTGAAGCATCTTTTTGTTAAGTCGCAAAACATAGGTGTATGTTAATGCTGACAAATTCCAAATAAATCTCCTCTCCACATAAATGTAAGTTTATTTACTCAGATGACTAAAGCAACAGAAATTGTCATCACCTCGCTATTTAGACATTGTCAACTCTTTATTACTTACATTCCTAAACTGATGCTCTATTGGAAGAAACCCTGTTTCTTTTTTTGAACAAATCTGACATGGGTTTGAGACAGATTGGATGGGGTTTGTTAGAGCTCTTAGATTATTGCATTACAGTAATTGCATTTTGGTCAAGTGTTTTAACAATGCCCTTATTGCCATGAAGAAGAACTCGTAGCTTCATCTTTCTGTGCATTGATTTAGACTACACTTACACATGGAGAGAAAATGATATCCCATGGGGACAGAAGCATCAGAATGTCTTGAATGTCCTCTCACACAGTCCACAGCATCATTGCATCAAACATACTTCAACCAATAACTCTGTGTGGCTCCCCTGCATAAAAACTGAGAAGAACTAGGTGACCAAGTAAACCTATAACTCAGCTCAGCCTATTTCTTTTTCTCTTATAGATTACATCAATAGATTGTAAAGATGCTCTTGAAATGATCTGCAATTTGGAGTCAGAGGGAGACGAGAAAGGAGCTCTCTGCATGTGTACCACCTTTCTTAAACGACAGCTTCTCCAAGGAGACGTTTATTGTGCCTGGTAAGTGTTTCATCTTTTGCAGATGGATAAAAAAGATTATTTTAAAAAGCACTCCAGATATTTTGTCCGTATTGTTTATAAAAACATGTTTTCAGAGCAAACAGTCCATATAGTGATATTAATGACAAGCTGCCTTGGATTCATGATGGCTCTTTTTTTCTAACTATACAAGTATTTGTTTTGACATAACCCATGTTTATGTTTATTTTAATGAAGTATCTTGTTTTTTTCCAGGGAACTTACCTTGTTTTGGAGTAAACTGCTCATGCGGTTGGAGTCGTCGGCGGAATCATTTCTCAGCCACAGCAAACAAATGACTCTCCTCTGCAGAAGTGTTTGTCACATTCTGTTCCTCATCAAAGTCATCCAAAATGAGGTAAGAAAAATGTTTGTGTAAGTAACTAATACATTACTTGGATATTACCAATAACAGGTTTTAGGTTCCTGTATCTTGTGACATAGTTTCAATCTTTTGAGATTGTTTTGTCTGTCATCAAAGGTTGCCTCTGGATCAATCGGTCAGAATACAATTCCTGGCATTTACTGTATCTTGTATACATTTTTTTTTTCTTTAGGTTGGAGAGATTGGACTTCCAGTGTGTGTTGAAATGTGCATTCAAGCACTGAAAATGACCTCCAGTGATCATAAAGACAGCAAGTCCACCATCTGCAAAACTATTTCCTGCCTATTACCAACCGATCTAGAGGTTAAGCGAGCTTGCCAGCTGACTGAGTTTCTCCTGCAGCCTACTGTTGACTCGTATTATGCGGTGGAGTCACTTTACAACGAGCCCGACCAAAAGCCTGAGGAGGACGGTAGTCTGCCTGTACCCAATTCTTTACGCTGTGAGTTACTGCTGGCCTTGAAGACACAGTGGCCTTTCGATCCAGAGTTCTGGGACTGGAAAACGCTGAAACGCAACTGTTTAGCTTTGATGGGCGAGGAGGCAGCTATTGTCTCATCTATTGATACTCTCAATGACACGGATGAACAGGAAGTGGAAAATGCAATTGGCAAACTCCCTGAATACAGAGATCTGGAGGATTTTCTATTAACCACTACAAATGAACTCAATGAAATCACAGATGAAAAAGAAAAGAACAGAGAGGCTAAGAAACTTCGGGAGCAGGGTTTTGTTTCTGCTCGTTTCAGAAATTGGCGGGCCTACATGCAGTATTGTGTTTTGTGTGACAAGGAGTTCTTGGGTCACAGAATTGTGCGCCACGCTCAGAAACATTTCAAAGACGGAGTGTATCTTTGTCCAATTTGTGCTGACAGTTTTGAAACTCGGGAAGTTTTAGAACCTCATGTAGCATCGCATGTAAAGCAGTCATGCAAAGAGAGACTGGCTGCAATGAAAGCGGCAAGGAAAGTTACCAAACCTTTTCAGTCCCCTAAAAGTCCTTCAAAAATTTCTAAGGTTGCAGCCAAGACAAACATGAGCCCTGTTAAAGCTAATTCTCAAGTTGGAGACCAAATGACAGCACCTGTTAAGATGGACCAAACTACATCTGATACACAGATTAGTCAAGACTGTTTCTGTCCTGTGAAGAACTGTTCAAAGGCTTTTAAGTTTTTCCGTAACCTCATGGCTCATGTCCGATCTCACAAGGATGACGAGGAGGCGATGAGATTTCTAGAAATACAGAAACAGAAAGTGGTTTGCCAGTATTGTAGAAGGCAGTTTGTTAATGTCAGGCATCTTAATGATCATTTACAGATGCACTGTGGCAGCAAACCTTATATCTGCATACAGCTGGATTGCAAGGCCAACTTTAATTCAAATTCTGAGCTTCTCATGCATAGAAAAACACACCCAGAATTTAAGGCTCAGTGCATGTTCCCAAATTGTGGCCAGGTTTTCAGTGAGGCCTATCTATTGTATGATCATGAGGCTCAGCATTATCTTACCTACACCTGCCAAACAGACAATTGTGGTAAGATATTCTACTCACAGTCTGAATTTTTGTCCCATCAGGAATTTCATAATGCAAATCATGCTGTAAATAGTTTTCACATTGTGAATCAACATCCCCCTATCCCTGCAAATGTAGGACCACCACCTCAAAGCACCCCAAGCGAAGAAGACACATGTTCGACTGTTTTAAGCCCTGAAAGAAATAATGCAGATGTCTATGTGAAGGAAGCATCAAACACAAATGTGTCACCGTACAGATCACCAGAGGTTGCTGAAGACTGTGTTCCAATGAAGGTGAAGCACTCAATTGAAAACATGCTGAGTTCAATGGCAGATCCTGGGATAAAAGTACCAGAAAAGTGTTACACTCCACTTGCAAACCCCACTCCAGCCCCTACCGATGCAGATATACCACCAGAGGCACCACATGCGCACCATGACGTCACTGAGCAAAAAGATGTGCCGCCATTGTATCCTGCTGCTGGTCCCATCAGTCAGGCGGTGAGTCAACAGCAAAACATGCATAATGATGTTCAAGGCAACGACGTTCAGAAAGTGTTGCCACAGATAATTTCTCCGAGTCAAATCAAGACCGAGATTCCTTGTTCAATGCAGGAATATTCCTCTGGCACACCGGTTGTTCCCACAGGAAGTGAAGAGAACCTGCATTGTTGTCCATCTAATGACTGTTCTAGGGCTTACAGCACAAACAAAAGTCTATCTAGGCATGTGAAGAAGCAGCATCCAGAAATATTTGAAGATTGGAAATTGGCCAAAAAATACAACAAAGTGGCCAAAATTACAGCAAAAAAGGGAAACAGACCGTCAAGTCAGCCTGGGATACTATGCAACAAACAAGAGATGCAGCAAATGGATTATCAGGTGGGATGCTCGACGTCGCCATCCCAATGTTATCCCGGATCAATGGAGCCTGTTCCCATTACTCCTATGGTCAATCCCACTTTGTACCCATCCTGGGGGGGTTCTAACAATCCCAGTGTAATGATGCAGTCAGATATGTCCCAATCATGGTCTTCATCTCCAATGAATAACTGCTATCCTGACACATTTAATATGAATGAATACCCCTCCCGCAGCTATCCTCAATGGCAAGCAGACCCATATCATGCTCACCCTTCCGATAGAGAGCATTCAGCGACAGCTATACATGGTCCCCCTATGCCAAATGCTCCTTCAGATTCAAGCCTGATGTCCCAGTATGTGTCCAGTTCCTTAATGCTCGACAATGGCGGCCACATGCATAATGGAGGACATCAGTATGGACTTGTGCATCAGGATAGTACTGGTGATAGTGTGGATGTGAGAAAAACCAGTCCCAGTATGACAGGACACTTGGATAATGGAAACAGTATCTCAACAATTGACAGCCTTCCTGATGGAGGTTACCACACTCCATATCCTCCAAGTGAAAACTCATGTCTTACTCAGTGCTCATCAGTGGATATGCCCATAAAATGTCTAAGCCCAGAGGCTCAAGTTCCAATAAAACCTGCGAATGAAATAGTTAAAACGGAAAATGTGTCAACTCCTGGTTACGAACAGATGGACAACTCTGTGGATGGCATACTCACTCCACACAGCGTTGTTCCGACTGACTTCCCTTATGATGAGGACTGTAGTAATGCCGACTGTGAAGCCAACCCCTCTGATGAAAAGAGCACTGACCCTGACCCACAGAAAGCAAAGCGCAGCAGATTGAGCAAGCGTACCAAATGGCCAGCGATCATTAAAGATGGAAAAGTTATCTGCAGGAGGTGTTTCAGAGAGTTCACAAGCACCAAATCTCTCGGCGGTCATCTGTCGAAACGCTCTCAGTGCAGGCCTCTAGATGAAATTGACCTTACAGCAGACTTGCCAACATCCTTTCTGGACTTCCTCAATGATCCACATGTCCCTGACACTAACGGAGCAATGTTCAACGTGCCAAATGGAGAGTTCTCACAGGAATCATGTAGCCTGACCACACTGAACTCACCTATGGTGTTGAAACAGGAGCCCCAGTTTACCAATATAATGGACCATTCTAAGTCATTTTCTGTTTCTTCTGAAAACCAGCAAGAGAAAGCAGCTGAGCTGGCTGATCCACCCCTCACTGGACCTCATCAGGAAGATCATCTGATGGAAATGTCACATGCCTTTCAGAGGCTGGACTTGATTGAAGCTGCACAAGAGAAGATGCGAAAGTCTTTAGAGCAAAATATCAGTCGTTGTGAGACAAAGTCTGACCTGGAAAAGGCTAAAATACAGTGTAGGAGTGATGACAAGCCCCCCGAAAGGGTACCTAAGCCTTTTAAATGTGACCAAGACAAGTGTGAGTTCTCTTTCATGACAAAGGAGGCGTTATTCAAACACTTGACTAAAATGCACGATTATTCTAATGAGATGATCGAAGAGCTCAAAAGAACCCCATCCAAACTGTCTCCTTACCCATGTCAGATTTGTCCAAAAACATTCACAAGAACAACAGGGTTAAGAATTCACTATGAAAAAGTTCACAGATTGTCAAAAGCAGAAATGCAGAAGTTAAAAATCAGTGCTCGAAATAGACGTGCATTCAGACTAAACAAAGATGTCCCTGTTAATAGCTGTGCAAGTTCGGAACCCAACACAAGTCACACAGCACGAGCTGAAACTGTATTAACAGCGATTAAGCAAGAGCCCCTTGACATTGCAATCGCACCTCAAACGAACAATGTGAAAAATCCAGAAGTGACTGAAATGACTGCTGTCGGTGCACCAAACGCAGGTTTGACACCTGAAGTATCAACTGTAACACGACTGCCGTCACCTCCAAACTATCTGACTGAAAAGCCGCCCGGGGAAGTGGCACTAGTGACTCCTGGGACCTCTCCAGAGAAGCTGAAAGTAGCAGATGGCAACAGGAGTCCGGACATGAAAGTGAAATCCATTATGAAAGAAGAGTTAAGTCCTTTTGAAAAGGCAACGGTGCAGCAAGAAGGAATGGATGTGTTGGAGAGTAAAGCAAAGGAACCAAAGTCCTCCACTGTGTCTGCTTCATCCTCCCCGGATACACCCAGCAGCTCCAAAACCACACCCACAAAAGAAGAGAAAAAAGAGAAATTTCAGAAAAGGTTAAGCCTCAAGTTGTGTGACACAGACAATGCTTACAGTCCGTATAGACCATATCGCTGTGTTCATGAAGGGTGTTCTGCGGCGTTCACCATCCAGCACAACTTGATCCTCCATTACAGGGCCATGCATCAGGCATCGCTGCCCCCCAGCAAGACGGAAGCTGACGTTGAAAAGCTGAGTGATAATGAGGGACAGGAGAGCAATGACAGCATAGGAAAAGATAACGAAGTTAGGTGTCAAGTGAAAAACTGTTCAAGAGTTTTCATGGGAATCACAAGGTTGGTGCAACATTACCTTTTGCTGCACAAGTTCAGTCGTGACAAAGCCACCTCCATGATGGCCAGCATGGCCATAGGCACTTTTAACTGTGACAGGCCAGAGTGTGCTCTCCCCTTTGACTCTGTGGATAAGTACATTGAACACATTAAGAATTACCATAAGGAAATCGCCATCTCTGAGAGCGGCTCAGTTGATCCAACCTTCCGGTGTGAGTATGAGTCATGTGACCGTGTGTACACTACAAAATCAAACCTCCTTCGTCACCTGATCAAAAAGCATGATTATATTTATGATCCCAAAGCTACTGATGGAAGAAGGACTAAATCGGTTGGTCTTTTCCCTGGTGTTAACAATGGAAAAGAGAATGTAGAAAATAAGTTTAAGATGAAAAAGAAGAACACTAAAAAGAAAGAGGGCAAGTCCATTGAACACTGGACTAGTTTTGGCAAGCCTACACTAAAAACTCTCGAGGAGGCATCGGCCATGTGCACCAAGAAGTCTGCTCTACAGTACCCATGTATGATCATAGGCTGTGATGCAGTGGAGCGGGCAGAAAGAAGTATATTTAAGCATTACACCACTCATGGCCTCACAGAAAGGTACATTGAAGATCAGAGGAGTCAATTCATTTTCTGCAAAAAATATTCTCGCTCCAGATTCAAAGATACAGACAAATCAGAGGGCGCATCAAGTTCTGAGGAAGAGATGGAGCTAGATGAAGGCGAAAAGCCCTATGAGCAGAAAACTGAGGAGCAAGTGGTGAGTAAAATCAGCCAAGAGGACAGCAAGCTGTCCAATGATGAGAGTGCAGAATCTCAAGCTTCCAATGGGACAGAAGGTGGATCTAAAAGAGGGCGTCCCAGAAAACCTGTACATCCCACACCAGCTTGTCCAGAGAGGATACAGACCCTTAGAAACCGCTCGACTGTTAACAGTTCAAGAGAGGACTCAAATCCTGGTACGCCCACAGCCCTAGAACAACGTGATGATGGGGTCATGTCAGGGTCTTTCAAGCCTTTAGGACTGGAGGACTCCTTCCTTAAGTTTCTGGAAACCTCGGAGTCAACAAACCCTACAAAGCGTAAATCAAATGAAAAATCTAGTGCAGAAGTGCCGTCCAAAAGACAACACACTTACAAACAGAAATCTATTATGAAAAATAAAATGACTGAAGAAATTCGAGGCTGTGAAAATCTTATAGACTTCAGAAACCCCCTCAATCTCAAATCGGTTAGTAATGTTAAGATTGTCATGGACAAAACATTTTCAGACGGTGCTGATCTTTTGCTTAAGCAGCTACAAGATATGAGGCCCATGGTTATGATAAAAAGATGGCTTTATAGCGGATCATAGTCCCACACTTTGTTTCCAACTCAATCTTACTCAGGATTTGAGAAGTTATGCTGCAGAATGATTTGTTTCTTAATGCTTCAGATTTCCAACTGTTAACAGTCATGTTCTTCAGAGTCAATGATGAAATGGCCTATTTTGTACTTCTTGAAAAAATTGTCTCGGATGATTTTAAGTATGTATGTTAGTTATAATAACCAGGTAATCTATAGGGCATAGATTTTAGAAACATGTTTGTATTTATGCTTAGTACTGAAGATGTTTTTTTTTCTTTTTTTGCTAAATGGAGACTTTTAAAGAAAACTGTTTTTATATATCCCTATGGGATTTCAAGTTCTGTTTGTATTTATTTCATTCTTTTTCAACACTAGTAGACCTATCTGTAATATTTACATGTCTTCCACAAAGTGTTCAATAAAATGTTACTGGTTTTTTGTAAGTTACTGACTGCAGATATTGTATTTTCTTGACTTGGCTATTAGGTTAGCAGTACATAAAATATACTCTCTAGGCATGGTCCCATTGTGACTTAATACAAATTACATAATACAATGTAGCAATTTTTAACTGAAAAATAATTCCTTTAACATATACAAATATTTAGCCAGTGTTTTTGTTAGAGGGCATTATTTTTATGCATTCTACAAGGGTTACATTGAGACATTTCAGTAGCAGTTTTAGTTCATTGTAATAGGATTTTGTAAATGTAAATTGCAAATGTACCAAACTATCTACAGTACAAAGAAGTGTAAAATCTTTTTGTTGTTGTTGTTGTTGGACAGACAATAATCGTGTAGTACTATATTACAATTGTATTTTACTTAAATATTAAGCAAGAAAGGCCTATGTGTATATATACACTATAACTTAATTTATTCAAAGCTTCTAAATTAGCTTTAAACGTAGTGGGTTACGTTCAAGGCTGGCAACGTTTATAAAAAATTTACCGTGTTAAATTTACGAATAACTTGCGTATGCATAAAGTATATATTTTCTTCTTTTTTGTTGATGTTATTGTTATAACTTTTTAGAGGTCAGTTCTTCCTGCGTGGGTACCTCCGTCGGTAAAAAACAAACAAACAAAACGTGAACACAGCTATCGTGTAATTACTGAACACAACCCTTTCCGTAAACGTCACACTGGCGGGAACTCGAGCCCGAGTCAGGCCAAACGCAGCCGGCATTTTAAAAACCCATGTGAGGTGTTCAGGAGCAGCTGTTGCCTGGGTCCCAAGCCGTCTCGTGTAGCTCCTGCAACGATGTCGACTTCGTCTGTATCAAAGGTAACGCCTTCTGTTGCTCACAAGTATGACAAAACTCTCGCAACAGACTTGACACAAAATGGCTTCATCACCGTTATATTTTTTTCTGTTTTCGTGCTGACACCGTTTGTGTTTTGCGGACCTATCAGGGCTGCTTTGTGTTCAAACCTAGCGCGAAGAAGAAGAAGACTCTAGATCTGGGTGAGATTTCTGAATGTTCACGGAGACATTGATCTATCAACGAGTAAAATCGGGAGCTGTCAGTTGTTTCGTGCTCTCTTATCTTTTCTTATGCCGCTTTTGCGCAGGAAGTTACTTCAGCCGAGGCTGCGAGAGCTCAGAGAGCAGCGACACACGATTCAGGCTCTGTCACGACCTGTGGGACAGAATCAAGACTGACACAGAGGTGAGGCCCGATTCACATTCATATGGTCATCACCTGACAGCGCTTTCCAGATGACGTGAATCAAATAAGCAAAAAGATGGTATTGTGTTTTTACATGTTTTATTACCTTTTTATACCTGCATGGATAGATAGACAGGCATAAGTGCTCCAAGAGTCAAAGCTCCTGCACCTCTCCTAGAAATTACACATACACGCATACAAAAACACTCAGAATGAACAAAAGCACCACATTAGAAATGCATTGAATGTCAAAATTTGTATTAAAATTGCACAGGGCAGTTTTACCTGGGCATTTATCAGTTTAAAGGGCAGTTTGATGTGAGTTCACTCAGTTTAAATTATGTTATTATTATTTGTGAGGTTTTACAGGATGAACTCAACAGGAAAATATTGGACAGCTTGCTGGAGTTCACCAGGAAGTGCTCCCTAACTCGTCAACACAGTGACTGGATGTCCCAGATGAGATGCAGTGAAATTCCCACAGCCGCCCTTATGTTGGGTATGCAGATTATTTACTTTTCCTCACTTTAGAGCTGATGATTAGCGTATCTGGACACTTTCCAATCGCACATCCTTTAAAAAAATATTAATACAAAGGAAAGGAACTTTTTCCTGAGGATTTTTCCATCTTTGCCATGTTACTCCCAGTCTGACCTGCCTTTTGATTCAAACTGTAGGTGTGAACATCCCAGACCATGACATGACTTTCCAGAGTTTGTCCGACCAACTTCAACAGTCTGTTACTCCTCATGTTGTCTCTGTGCAGGCTAAAGAGTGTGCAGGTAAAAACTCCGACATCTGGTGCATCTGGAACTTAGGATCTACTTTCCTTTTCTTCATTACATCTCGGTTGTGCTTTGCACGGTTTATCTTTTCAGCGTTGAAACATTTGATGAAGAAGGTCCTGGAGAGACTGACGGACACAGTTGTTGCCTTGGACGATGAGGATGAGGAGGCAGCTGAGCAGAGTGCTGCCTCCCTCCAAAAGGGCGTGCACTGCTCGCTCAGTGCGCTCTGCGACTGGTACAGCTCAAAAACAAAGGTGGGGGCTTGTTTTTTACATTTACAGCCATGTACACTGAAAGAATTTTATTTAAACAAGGGTCACTTTGTTTTTAAGAAGTCCAACACTCCAGGGAAGAAGCGCAGTTCCTCTGCGATGGAGGAGCAGCAGCAGCCTCCTGTTGTGGTCATCTTCAAAGATTTGGAAGCTTTTAACCCAAAAGTTCTTCAGGACTTCATACTCATCTGCAGGTAACTAAGAGCCCTGGAATCAAAGAGTAAATCCACGCTTTTTTTTTTTTTAAATCAAGACAAGAGACTTCTGTTTATGCTTTTTTCAGACGCTTTTATCCAGTAGACACAATGTTACAGTTATCATCAATTTGACAATAAGCTCTCTGGAGGAAAATCCCTAGTTAGAATCAGTGGCGACACCAAAGAGATAGAGGGAAGTGCAGAAAGAGTAGTAGAGAGGATATAGAGGTATGGGTAAAAGTTAGGAGAGGAAAGAGGTGGGTCTTTCCTGAAGATGGATAGGGATGCTGCTGTTCTTGTAGCGCTTGGAGACACCCCCCCCCTTATCATTCTCAGTTCAGGGAAAGGAGACAGATCAAAGAGTTTTTCTTCTGTTTTCAGCCGCTACATCGAGCGACTTCCACTAATGTTCATCTTTGGGATCGCCACGTCACCCAGCACCATCCAGCACATGCTGCCCCACTCGGTGTCCTCCCTGCTCTGCATAGAGCTCTTCCAGTCCCTGTCCTGCACGCAGCACCTCGCCACAGTCATGGACAAGGTGAGGCAGCCCGGGAAAACACATCCATCCGTCTGTTTTTTTTTTTAGGAAGACTGACTCATCTGCTTCCACACATTCTGTCTGACAAAATAAAAGGGAGTCCAAGCTGCTGCAGCTTCCACAGAAATCTCCCCAAATTTAAAAAAGGACAATTTTACTAGCTCTAATTACCTTTTTTGCCTTGCCCTGTCTTGCAGTTGGTCCTCACATCCCATTTCCCCTTTAAACTCAGTGGGAAAGTGATGCAGGTGCTGATGAGCATCTTCCTGTACCACGACTTCTCGGTCAGGAACTTCATTAAGGGGCTGCAGGTAGGTGGAGGGAGGTGAGGGAGGCGGGGCTCGGAGGAGCCAGCGCGCAGTCATCGCTCCGTCTGTGTGCAGCTGGCCCTGTTGGAGCACTTCCACTCGCAGCCTCTCAGTGTGCTGTGCTGCAAAAAGAAGGAAGCCCTCCTGAATGTGATGCAGCTGAGTGACAGCAACGTGGAAAGAATCAGGCAGCTGCCGTCCTTCAAGAGGTACGCGCTGCGTTTTTAAAAAATGATTGCAGGGGGTTGCAAGGCACTGTATCAGCTTGTTTACATGTAAACAAAAGGAGGCACTCTGATGTTTGTTTTTGATGTGCGTTCATGTCATAGGTTTATAGAGAAGCAAGAAAAAGAGGAGCAGGTCCACCTCATGACGGATGACGCCTATTTAAAGGTGCATTCTTTGTCTTTTTCTCTTTCCTTAAGCGTTTTAATGGGAACTTGTTAAGTTTATGTTTTTAACAAGATTTTATACTGTGCTGGAACCCTTCACTTTATCCATGTAATTTTTTTTCTTTAAGGAGATCTGTTGTAGACTGATAAAGGACCTTCACAAGTACCACAAGAACTATTATCCCATCCTGAGGTGTCTGCACACTTTGACCTCATCGTTACCTCGATATCCTCTTGGAAAGCAGGCAAGAATCTGCAGCCCATTGTCGTACCGCACATACAGGATGTCAAGTTCCCCTTTTTACTTACTCAGGGAGTATTTTTATCCAAATCATGACAGATTTCTTTTTTCTTTTTTTTGTAGATTAGGGAGCTCCATTTGATATGTCTAGAAAATAATGTGTGGGAAACTGAGGATTACCAGTCTGCCATGAAGCTGTTGAGGTAAGACCAAATATTTGTGCTCTATGTAAACAAGTGGTGTTTAAAAAAATATTTATGTATGTGTGTATACTGTAATTAGTCCATGTCCCACTTAGCAGCTGTTCTCTACACATTTAACCCTCAGATATGCACCAATTGAGGCATCTTCATGAGGTTATTGCACCTCGTACTTGTTGGGAAGCTTTTTTTTAATGTATTTATTTTTTATTTTTTATACGTTTGTGCTTTTTCTCCAGGATGCTGGCTAAAGATGAGCTGATTACGCTGCTCCAGAGGTGTGCTGAGATACTGCATGTTAAGTCAAAGAAGATGAAGAAAACTCTTGTCCAGATGGAGGAACTGCTCGCCAAATTCAAGCAGCTGGACCGTGAGTACTTACCAGGTGCAGCGTTTTCCCTCTCTCTGAAAAGTATGACTCAAGGTAGAACTACCTTTTCCACCAGCTGCCTCTGAAATGGGCTCCAGTGCGGAGGACTGCATTATCTCCCCAGTGAAAAATCTTCAGAAGAAGACGGATCTGTTTCAGCTTCAGAAAGTCAGATACCTGAGTATCCTGGAAACGATATCCTATTTTCACTGTTTCATACCAACAAATTTCCAGCCTCTGTGCAGGTGTTGCTAACACAAAAACTCTGTTCTGGTTGCAGACTCTGCTGGAGATGAACGAGTCTCGTCGATCAAAGAAACTGAGTCCGTTCGAGACTCTGAGGAATGAAGCTCTGGATTTTATTGAGACGTTGGTGAAGTAAGTGAGCGTTGCATTCAGGCCCGGCATAGAACAGCCAGTCTTTATGTAACAAACGCCGTGGTCTCCCTCAGGAGCCATCTGCCTCCACCGGAGTCCCAGACTCTGTGGGAGGTGTGCTACTACAGCTCGTCTGCCACCGTCAGACGCCACCTCAACGCCACGCCCCGCACCTCCATCCAGGCGGCGCTCAGCAACCCCTTCTGCTACCTTCAGGTGCGTCTGACGTGGCTGGGAGCTGGACGTGAACGTAGAAGACCCGTCCTGCTCTGGTCACCACCCCCACCTGCTCTCAGAGTTCTACATCCTCTTTCAGAATGACAGCTTGAAGGCCGAAGATGGAACCGTGTCCAACGCGGCTCCCGATATCTGCATCACGTACAAGCTCCACCTGGAGTGTGGAAGGCTGATCAACCTGTATGACTGGTTAGAAGTGAGTGTAATGCCGTCCTCAGAACAAGACAAATGATTTATTAATATTGATCAGAAGACCAAATATCGGTGCAGGATGACATGGCTGGACATGTTGGTTTGTCTTCAGGCCTACGCCACAGTGGTTTCTGCTGCTGAGGGCATCGATCCGGACTCGGATAGCTTCGGGAAGGTGGATGAAGTCAAACAGTATCCTTGTTGGCTTTCTTTTGTTTGTCCTTCCAAATGACATGACAGTTCACTTGTACGGGGTTGGTCGTGTGCTCAAAATCCTTATTTTCTTATGTGTAGCAAGCAGTCTTTGCTGTCTAATGACAAATGGGATTCTCAGATTCATTATTTGATCAGTTCAAACATTTTTTTCCTTAATTTATCCTGCAGTGCTCGGTTTATCCGAGCTGTGTCAGAGCTGGAATTTCTGGGTTTTGTCAAGTCGACCAAGCAGAAGACAGACCACGTGGCCAGACTCACCTGGGGAGGCTGCTGACCAAAACCCTGAAGACAACGAAGCCTCTACAGCTTTCAAAATGTGGACATGGATTGTGTTTCTGTCAGATTGAAGATGGAACCCATGCCTGAGGAGCACTTTGTTCTCTGTGCCGTTTTGTCTAATGCATATCAGACACAGTCTGAAGACAACAAACATTCCAGGTGGAACAGCCTTATGTTAGCACATGGCAGTGATAAGAACAGGCTGTGAATTGAAAACTAAAGTAAGATTTTCCATCATTAAAAAGAAATCTGTTGATAATCTATGACCCTCGGAATAACTTGGTGTGTAATGTGAACATGCAAAAAGATTCTCAACTCTAAATGTTTTTATTGTTTTTTCCTCCATAAAGTACAATGGTGTCTAAGAGAAACCAGCAGATCAACTTTCAAAATAAATAAACACTAGTAGGAAGAAAAAAAAAAGCAAAGACCCCCTTTATGCTGAATTAAAAGCAGAGAACAAAGGACAAATTGCAAAAACACTTTGTTGAACTTGTTTCTTTCACTTAGTGTCAGATCGACCAGCAGACCTTGTGTAAAACTCTGCTTTATCTCATTTACATGTAACAAACATAAACAAGTCAAACAAAGCCTGGAATTCTGGGAATCATTACAAAAGTGAGATAACGGTAGATAACGCGTACAGCTGGAGGAACAGAGGCCACTGGTAGATTGGGTCCATTAATTGACATTAGGAAGCACCTAGTTGCTCACGACAAAGTGGTAACAACCAACAACAGCTTCATTTAAACCTTTGCCCAAAGACAGATATATGGCACAGTGAGAGAAGTTTCATTTGAACAAGCTAAACTGAATCTCTTAAGATGGCGAACGTTTTTTTCTTTGCTGAAATATCACATGATAGCTTGCAGAAAGAGAAGGCTGTCTTGCAAAGGTTCTGGGCCACACTCAGGAAACATCTGGAGAAACGGGAGATGAAATAGAGTACAGAAACCAGACTTGTTAGTTTAAACTTCAAAGGCAGACTTTCTCTCTGACAATGTGCCAGGGACACAGGAATGTGGAAAATCAAATCTAAAAACTCACAGCTTGCAGGCTGCTCCCCAAATCGTCGCATTAGCTGATCATGTGTAAACTTGACAAAGGTGTCATATTGCTCTGCAATGGAAAAGAAGTCGTGGTTACGAGTGCTCTGCAAAAACCCTTTGCCTTAAAAATAAACATTGGTGGAATGCATTTTGTGTATTTGTAATCAATATTCTGTCTTGTTTCTTTTCAAACAAGAGTGCATGTCCATGGATACACACTCATCTGTTTATGTCCATGGTTAAACAAGTACTGATCACAGATGATAAAAACATTTATTCAGCCCTTTGTTTAGAATATCCATTAACCATTCTAAACTGCTAAATTAATTGAATTTTCCATTTAAATAAAGCCAAACTGATTTTTTTTTTTTTTAAATCAGATAAAAGAAACAACACTCGTGTCTGTGTTAACTCAGTCAAATCTGTGTCCTGTATAAAATGTACCAACCTGCCAATTTTGAAGTCATGGTCTCTTCGTATTCCTCACGCACCTTCTCTTCCCTTTCTTTCAGCAGGCGTTCGCAGATCATTCCGACTTGTCTGAGAGTGAATAATGGCTGTTCTTTTCTAGTTGGAGAAACACCTCCTGAGCACGTCCCTGTTTAGAATCAAACAAATGGAATGTCACTAATGTTGTTTTTATTTGATATTTGTGTCCAAAATTGAGTCTGAAACCAACCTGCCATGCTGGAAATGTTCATAGTGGAGGACTGGGATGGGGACTCTGGAGAATAGCTGCATTCTGACTGTTGGTAGCCTCCATCTAGATGCTTCCTCTTTTGAATGCGTTTGTACTCTTGTTTGATGTTATTGAGAATTTGTTCTAGATGGTCAAAAGACAGTAAAGCACCCATCAGTAAAGCCCAATCAGTTCTTCTAAGTAACCAACCCGCTAGTACTGTTTCAGTTTGGTTTGTATTGCTGTAAATGTTGATAATTATGAAATTGGCTAAGTGTGGCCAACTTATGAAACATTAGTTATTTTACCTGCACTAAGTCTTGAGGACGACTCCCCAAATGGCGAGGGCTCCAGCCTTAGATACTTCCTAGGGGATGAAGACGATGGGGCCACGGGGATGCATCTTCGTCGTTTAGGGGATGTAGGACTCATCAGTGGATCAAATTCCATGGTCCTCTTCAGGGTGGCTCCACACGCCATGACTTCAAATACAAAAAAGAGAGAAGATGGCTCTCAAAACCGTGAGGACAATAATGGGGTGATAACAGGAGTAACTTTAGATAAAGGCTGCCCTTGGGTACTCTCACACAACTCGTCAGTTACGGTGTAAATTTTGAGCAACGAGCCGTCTCCCAAACCAAGGAAAACATGTTGAACATAGTGCGCAGCTCGGGCTTTAAATATCTAGTAGCACGCTAACGTTAGCGCCGCCCGCTAGCGAATAATCAAAAAGAAAACAAAGCTAACGTTAGCTTAGACCACTGCTGACAGGAGAGCACCTTCTATTGTATATTTCGCCAAATATGATTTTCTTGTACCTTTTTAGGGAGGAATAGGTCTTCCCGACTGTGTTAACCAACTCCCGCTGTCGTAAAAGTTGCTTTCCAAAAGTTGAAGCGACGACCAGCCAGTGGGCCAACTATCAGCCGTTAGATGGGGAAGCTAGCTAACGTTGCTGAGCAGCCTGTTTTTGATATGAGGCTGTATCGGCTTCTCCGGCTCGTGACGTCAGGTAGGAAACAATATAACGCAACGCATTCTGGGCTATGTAGTGAAATGCCGGAAAAGAGCAAGGCTTCATGTGTTTTATCTCACGAAATTTCTTATACAAACGTATAATTAAAATTTATGCCGTAGCTTCATAGTTTGGATCGACTTCAATAATAGAGTTTATTGGTAATGTTAAATACACTTCAAGAAATGTCCACAAGGGGGCACTGCTCCCCTCTTAGTTTATACTGACAATTCTGCTAGCCAACTGACAAATTGCAGACAAAAGGAAAAAAGAATCTCTGGTTTATATTAACCATTATCAGATTCTCTTTAACTCAGTCTTACTGTAAAAGCTTTATTTTTTTCCTATCAAAGGCCTGTGGCCTTGAGAAACCAACACAGAGGCACAAAAGCTGTTTTCATAGTTTTATTATGAAAAAAAAAGTGCTATTCATGTCAACATATTCATCATAAAAATAGACAAATGTCTCATATTTATTAAGCGCATGTCTTTGTTTGTACTTACTGTCTTGGATGGATAACAACGGCACTACAATAATATGGTTGTACACAACTTTGCACAATTTGCTGTGATAGTTTTACCATCATGGGGGGGGTTGTCACATTCCGCTATTTACAAGAGTTTTGATTTGATCAAAACTCGACGCCCACCATTTTCCTTCACAAAATTTCAAACATTAGTCTGAAAATAAATAAATACAGCAGAGATTTGACAAAATTCTGAAACTGACAAGCATGACTAGGTCAAGCTCTTCCTAAAGCGACAACAATTGACTTAGAATTACAACTACTGTCTTGATATGTTATGTAAAAATGTAATCACAACAGGAAATTACTAAAGTGTTTATAATGCTGAAATCTTATCTGTTGATTTAATGTAGAGAATGAGAAAGCACAAATTCCAGAAAATAAAAATAAAAAAGTTAAATGTTTTTTATGTGTTTGTGTGTGTTTATGATGCAACATCATGTCCTAAATTAGGTGAGAACATTTTAAAACACAACAAAGGCTAGATTAGCTGGATCATCAAACACTGTCATATACGAATCATGATATTACAAATTTCTGTTGAAAATAAAATAAAGCATGAACTTTTCATTTTGGCACATTTCACAGTCACAGGCCTGTCCACTAACGGGTCTCCGACTATTCCACACCACCTGCTCGTCCCAGTTGCACCAGGGCAGCCCGTCTTTTAGACCGGATCCACTGTAGATGTCTCGGTCACTCCAGAAACTGTAACCTGGGCTACTTTTGCTTGAGCCTTTCTACTGCTCACTCCATTCTTCCCCGCCCCCCCTGCTGTGGCTCTCACACTTCTGCTGGTCCAGTCGCTCTCTGCGCTGTTGTCCAGAGGCTGCGTCGTGCCCCGCCAAATGTTGCAGATGTTGAGGAAGGCCCGGCGCAGGTCTTTGCTCCTCATAGCGTAGATCACCGGGTTCACCGTGGAGTTGAGCAAGCACAGCATGCTGCAAAAGGCAAACACGGTCTTAATCGTATCGTTCACCTTCCCGAAGAGGTCGTAAACCATTATAGCTAGGAGGGGACCCCAGCAGATGATGAGGGCCACCAGAATCAGGACCAGGGTTTTGGCCAGACGGAGGTCCATCCGAGCCTGCTCAGGCCTCACTGTTTGCACTTTGGCTCCCTCTGCCGTGTAGACGATCACGCTCCTCTGGGAGCTGCGGCTCAGCATGCGGACAGCGTGGTGGTGGGACTTCCACAGGATGAACATGTAGGCGTATATGATGAACAAGACCAGGATGCTCGTCATCCCGATCCAGAACATCAGGTACTTTTGGTCAATGAGAGGGAAAATGTCTGAGCAAACTGTACCCAGACGCTTGCAGTTCCAGCCGAGCAGCGGCAGCAGCGAGATGACGATGGAGATGGTCCACATCAGGCTGAAGGCGATCACCGCTTTGGTCTTTGTGACGATGCGCTTGTATGCCATGGGCCTGTGGATGGAGATGTAGCGGTCGATTGCAGTGAGGAACAAACTTCCCACAGAGGCAGTGAATGAGGCGATGACCCCCGCCAGTTTGAAGAGGAAAATGTTTGGGCTGTCTTTTCTGTGAAGGACGTGAAAGTCCAAGAAGCTGTATACGAAAATGATGCTTCCTATCAGGTCTGCCACAGCCAGGCTGCCTATGAAGTGGTAGGAAGGCCGAGATCGAAGCGTCTGGGAGTGTAGAATCACGCACAGCACGATTAAATTTTCCAGCACAGTGAATGTACCCAGGGTGAGTGCGAGGATGGCAACTGCAAGCTGTTGACTGGGAGTAAGGATCATAAAGCACTCCAAATTGTCCACTAAGTTCTCAGCACACTGCGCTGCTCCTCTCCCCTCTAGAGACGAGCCGTTGCCCAGGATGAAGTCTGACATGTTGGTGGGCAAAATGGGGGAGAGGGCAGCGTATATGACCTCTTTATTTCCGGGGATAACCTCGGAAAAGGCGGTGCCGATGGAGCCAGAGTGAGCTTTCTCAAAGTGGAATCCATTTTTGACCAGGCTGGAGTCGACTGAGGGGTTATCGTAGCTGGCATCGTTGGAGCCGAGGTGCTGCACACCTGTTGTTAGGGTGCTCATCGTGGTGCCTGCTATACGGTGCAAAGTCAGCTTCATGGCTGGTTTGTGGCTACGAGATGCTCAACGAAGAGGTGAATAGTGTCGGAACATTAGACACATGCAAAAGGACATCTACAAAGACAAAAGGAGATTTTTTTTCCCATGAAGAATACATAAAAGTGTTTGACAACTCCATCCACTTCAATCTGTAACACACTGGCTAATCAGGTCAGTTGTTGTAAATGATTAATAAACTGGAAAATGAATGTGCTACTGTGGGAATCTGTGTATCAGCCAGCTGACTCCTGAACAGATGCATCCCAGACAATAGTGGGAAACTGAACAGTTGATGAACCTGTGCAGCCTCAGGGGAAATGCAGCATTATACATGCAGGACGGTCGGGGCTTTCTTATTAATTAAACAAGGTCATTACGCTTCAAGCATTTTTCCGGTAATCACTAGATTAATTAGGCATCATGGGAGAGGCTGCAAACAGTGAACATATCTGATCCCTGAACCATGAAAAGGTTTCAGTGAGCTTGATATAAATTATTAACAATCAAATTTGCATGACGCGTTTAAAATCAAAGGCTTACTAAAGTTTCGACATGCAGTAATTAGAGCCAAAGTATTGATAAAGGCAATTTATGTCTCGTGCGGCGTGTAAGTATTTATGTATGACAAAAAAATATGTTGTAGTGATAACAACAAGACATACCTTAATTTCCCCGAAACAAATATCCCTCGTGGATCCGCACCAGAGGAAAATTAATAATTCTGAACCGAAGGTAAAAAAATGTGGCCAAACTCCAGGAAAGCTGAAAGTGATTGCGAAGTTGCAGTTATTATTATTGAGCAGGTGAATAATCCCGAATGCAGAACTCAGAGCGTTATTATCAGAGGCAGTGAGGGAGGCGGACGGCCGGTGGGGTGTCGGTGGGTTTGGGAGAGCGGGCGGTTTTAAGGCTCCGCTTTGTGCGCCTGCTGGTCACGTGGTCTGAGGTGTTCGAGCGCACTATAGGGAGCGCATCCGCCAGCATCATCCCCACCTATTTATAAAACCAACACAGCCGCAGCTGGCAACACAGAAAAAAACAACCGATTTATGTGGATATTTACCTCTCCACTGTTGATCCAGCGTGCTGTTGTACTCTCAGTTTAAATCACAGACACAGAACAGATGGAAACGCAATGATTACAAGACGAGTCTACTGCTGATCAAATAATGGGTTATTTTGTCATTCTGCCATGTAGCATACTATTTGGATGTGTCTGTAGCCAAATACTTTTTTACCATGACAATGGGAAGGCAACTCACTTTTAAACAGTAGCCAAAAGGAGCCTTAATAACTGAGAATTACTTTGTCTACAAATGATGCACTAGTTTACAATTACAAGTCTGCCAAAATGCATGAACATGAACATTTACATTTTAAAAAAGTGATAAGGGATGCTAAAACTGTAGAACCATGTCTTGAGGAAATACCAATATGGCAGTAATTATGTATACAAACTATATCCAAGAGCGCCAGAATGGTTTTCAAAAACTGTGTTATCAAATCTTTGCAAATCTTCAAAGATCAAATAAATTCAACGAACCACCCCCCTAAAAAAAAAACATTTCAATTTCAAAGAACTTGGATTTTATCATCAATGTTTCATTATTTTAGAATGAACTGAGAATACGAAAGATTCTGTGGAAAAGATAAGACGCAAAACAAATATTAAATGAGAATCATCATGGAATGTTGCCTAAAAGAGAAGAGATATTCCAATATTAATTATGCTGTTTACATGTGAAAATCAAGAGCTATTATGCAAAATGTTTTTATCCAGAGTACGCTTTTTTTTATTAAATTATAAGTGAGCACCCAGGAATTTTACTTGTAATTTATTGTAGCAGAGATTCTTGCAATATTGCATATGGAAAAGAGATGTACCAGTAATTTAATGCCTATATATAAATAGGAACCACACAGTGTAATTTGGGTGCAATTTTAAACTCACAGTTTTAGTCGGTCCATTCTGAATGTACTCCACCATTTATTTATCTATTTACAGCATTGAGGGGGGGGGGGTCACATGAACACTCCATTAAGAGTTTGTTTCCTGCCCCACGCAGCTGCACAATTATTTCCACTGTGCACTCGCAGAAGTGTTACCTCCCAAATTACATGTATCACGTTGTGGAAAATACATCAAATTTGGCTATCCAACATCATGGGAAAACAATGAAAGACACAACTCCTGATGCTAGCCTCCACTTTTGGCAGAAAAGAGGTGGCTGAGGAGACATCCAACAGGCAGTGAACACTTGTAATGCTGACTGTGAAATAAGATCCAAGCAGCCATTGATCCCCGAGGCAGAACGGTATATGCAGCATACTCCTTTCACAAAGCTCTGAGTTCTGAGAGGTAAGAGTAGAATGAATGTAACCTCTCTTCTGTTTGACTAATTGACAGTTTGCTTGAAGGTTTTTGAATTTGGCTCCTATCATCCCACAACGGAAGTGGGATAATCCTTCGATGCACTGCCATTGTAATCACTGTGGTCAGACTTTCAGAGACAGAGGGAAGAGATTCAAAACGCACAACTGCCAAGCCTTGGTAAAGCCACAACAGCAACTTGTAGAAGTCCAATTGTCCTAAATTGCCCACACTGCGTGTGCTTCTGCTATGTTTTCCTAACGGTCTTGCTTGGTGGAAGAATATTGCAAGTCATTTACACTGATTGATTTTTGTAGGATTCCACATGAGAGCACCATTATGCAGCCTATTTAATATTGATCTTTTGCCATTTATACACAATTGCTATACGAGTGGCTGCAAGGATTATGGAACCATTACTCTCACTCAAGAGCAAGTCCTTGTAAGTACACACCCTTATTCATTAAATGTAAATAAGATCTTAATATGCTACATTTCCAAAAATCAGATCACTCTCATATGTTGAATGTCATCAGGATTATTTGATGGCTTCATTTGTTTTTGTTTTTTCTGGAAACCAAAAAAACGCGAAGCACTCTTTGTTGTTACACACTACGTGCGACCAGACGAGGCTCTAAAGCAAGCTGCCTCTCTCCGATGTGTTTGTTTGGAGGGGCTGGAGGGGGAGGACGGGCGAGGAGGAAGAGATGCATAAATAGAGGAGAGGAGGCTGTGGCTGATAGCTCTTAACCATTTCCTAATCTGTCTCTTCTATGTTCTGTTCCTCCCCAGATGGCAATACTTCGTATTATAGCCAAGCTGACCACCATCCACTCAGTACGGCTGGGAGAGATAACGGACTCAAGTTACATTTGAGCTATTTCTTCATTTGATATCAAATTTGATTCTTAAATTGATTAAGATGGCTGACTTTCATACAAGTAGATATTTGATGATGCATTTTCCAAAGACTAAAAGGGCTTCACACTGTGGAAACTTCACCGGATAAATAATCAGCTTGAAGTCAAATGCGAGAGTTGTACAGCTTAAGAAAATTCTGTGCACATTGCCCAAAACAAATTTCTGTGTGATGTATATTCACAGTTTTTCTGGAATAAATGTAAGTAAAACAAATCAGCATCTTAAAAGACTCAAAAACAGGTTGCACTGCATGAATTTCCTTTTGTTGATGCCGAACAGAGCTGACAACATAATGGTCAGTGGGTAGAATCTCCTTCATGCGCCATTTAACCATGTAAAGACCTTTTTAAAATCTTAGCCCCACACAGTTGTAATCACAAAGACTTAGCAGGTGGTTCAGTGGATGCTTGCTTACCACCGGCTTACATGAGCCACAGAGGCAGAAATGCCCAGCAAACTGTTACACCAGTGTTAACCTTCATTGTTTTCGGTCAAAGCGGTGTTGCAGTTGAGTCTCTTCATTCTCAAAGGAGACATGTGACATTTCCGACTGAATATACACCCATGAGATGATCACGGAACGCCGGTGCTGTAACAGAGCAAAGCTGTCATGTAGTGGCCTTGCAGTTGTGTTCACCGCCAGAGAATCACTCCCTTTCCCCATGCAGCTGCAGGGCTTCCAGGACTGACAAAATCCCAAATGAACCTGACTGCCATGACACCAGCAGTCACTTTACCTGAATCCACTTGGTCATTTTCTGTCAAGGAGAAGAAGACTTGTGAAATTGAATTTTATTTATAGCTCAGCAATTTCCTCCTTTCTTGCACAGATTTCCTACAGAATGTGTGAAGTTGTGCTCTTTTTCTGTTTAACCAGCATTATATACAGTACTGGAGTGGAAAACCAATTGGAGAAAAAAAAATCGGTTAAAACATTTCTCGTCAGAATGAAGATAGACAAGTCTTTTGTTTCCCAGATTCAATCCAGTGGTAATTTCTTCCCAGCACCTTGTTTTTGAATGTCTTGAAAGTTGCAAACATTCAACTTGAAAATATTTTTTAAGTGGTAATTATCTTTTTTGCACAATGGAACTCATGTTTGCCGAAGAAGTTAGTAAGAAGTAATTATTTGAAGGAGAGTAATGTGTTTTTTTGTGACTTTCACGATCAAAGACCATGGTGAAAGATGGGCAACTGTCAAAGGTGACATTTCAGACGGTTTATATAATGGCTTTATCCACTGCAATGCTTGGAAACAAAGATTCCTTTGTGTTTTTGAGCAGTTCATTCCTTTGCTTGAGTAAAATTTCAAACTCAGACTTAAAAGCATCAACAGTTCAGATCAACAGTGTTTGCCTGTAATCAATCATTGTAGCTTGATTCATATATATATATATATATACATAAACTATTCTGATGCACAAAGGAAATTCGACTTACATTCTCTATTCTGCTCAGATGTGTCAGTAGACAAGCACTTCATGAGGTATATTCTGTGATCTTATTCTTGACAGGTAGCAATCACATATCCTCCTCCAAAAGCAATCATGGCCATCTGTGCTGGAAAGTAGATCGATGGCTGCAGAGTATGAACAAGCCTGTTGGAAGCTAGCCACCAGCCATGCTGCTCAACACAGATGATCCTTCATTTTGCGCCTTATCCCCCCCACCCCCCTTTACACACACACTTTTTATCACATCACAGCTT